CCGAAAGCACACAGCCATGCAATAACAAGGGGCAAGTACGATCAATACTCACAGACAAGTGCAAAAATCATTTAAAATAGCCCCTAGCCTTACTCAGAAAGCGCATTAAGGACTGCGCTCCACCTAGAGTAGAAGAATTTAAGCTATAAAATGCTATAGTAATATTATAAAGCTAAAGATTGTGTTTGTTTGAACTCGTTGAGCTTGGGAGCTACTGGTTCAAATTAGATTTTGAGGAAGGCCATGAAACATCATGCTGCGAACAAGCGAAGGAACAGTGGAAAATATGAAAAACGTAGGTAAAATTATTCATCTTTTCGTCTTTTCCGTTGCGTGCGCCGCGGAAACGGCTTAAGATACCATGTGTGTTTGCTTATATATCGATTACTTACATTTAAATAAAACACTTTAACGGTTTAAAACGCGATATATTAGTTAAACTTATTTGAAAATCATTTTTAAATTCGGCCCGACGTTTCCGGCGCTTTGCAGTTATTCACAGATTAATAATATTTTACTCTATTTGCTTTTTTATTTTATTTATAGACAAGTCACTTATTTTTACACCTTGACCGAAACGGAAAAACCCCCATGCCTGTCCCTTTCTCATAAAAATACTTATTTAAAAAAACATTATGTATTGATAAATAAATTAACTAACTTTGTTGGTAATTGGCGAGGGTTACCGCTCTACGCTGTCAGTGGACTAACGGCTTTAAAACATTAGTCATAGCCACAGTGGAGGGTGCGTTATTGATTTATTTTCGGCTCTCCCTTCGCGAGTCTCACTAAAAGACAGTATTATTACAAAATCAATAGTGGCCAATAGTTGTACAGCTGTTTCTGTTTATACGAATAGATACTGTAACTTATAATTATTTTATAGTTTTCTCCAATATACTTGTCATTGAAGTCAATTGGAAAATAGTGCTTAAAATCAATATTTGAAAACTAGCGGTGCCAGTCCACGGTGCTAGCTCGGATACATCATCTTTATAAATTACAGGTCATTTAAAAAAGAATAATTCTTTTATACATTTTTTTATCTATTTTCCCTATCTTTCTCCATTCCTATTCCTCGATAATTGCTCTAATCAACTCAAAAATAATTTTTCCTTTCGAATCAGTAGCGCGTTCAAACAGACAAACTCATCAGCTTTATAATATTAGTACAGATGTATGTCGAAAACATGACCCAAAGAGCTTCCTTAATGACGGCTAAAAAAACGTGAAACGTAACGGATTATCGTCTGAATTTACAGTAAAAGTAGACAGGAAAATGCAGAGTCAGAGAGAAAGTCTGCAGCATTTAGCATTGAAGCATTATGAGATGCGGTGAAATGTAACAGCAATTAACACATTACGATTTTTTTTAAACGCTCGTATCTGTGGTTTGGTTTTCTCTTCTTTGAGGTTATTGAGGGACTAAGGAGTATTAAATATGTAGTTTAACCTATAACATACAAATACTGTCTATAGTTTACGCGAGTAGTACACATTTAAATAAAACACTTTAACGGTTTAAAACGCGATATGTTAGTTAAACTTATTTGAAAATGATTTTTAACTTCGGCCCGACGTTTCGGATGCTTTGCAGCAAGTCTCGGGCTGAATTTAACTAATATATCGCGTTTTAAACCCTTAAAGTGTTCCATTACATTTATATAAAAACATTGTAATGGAGATATTATCACTATAAAACAAAGTCGCTTTTTCTGTTCCTATTTACATTTTACGCTTACATTTTTAAAACTACGCATTGAATTTTGATGCGGTTTTTTAATGGATGGAATGATTCAAAAGGAAAGGTTTTTATACACAACGTTCACAGTTTTACTGTAGTGTATTAAGTATCAGCATTGCAAGTGAATCCGGGGCGAGTCTCTAGTAGTTACTAAATAAGTCGATCGAGACCAAGCCTATGCCTTCTTTCAATCTCTAGCTTTTTTTTTTAAATAATGATAATAAATGTTTCCCTTTACCTCTGACTAAAAAGTAGAGAAATAATTGAATGATTATAGTTTTTTCATTGTTTTTGGTCCTAGGATTGACTCCCGGCGGTGTCATATACTTTTCAATTTTAATTGTTATTCACTACATCGAAGTCGAACAAAAGTCGGCGTCTTTTTAAAAATCGTCATTCTTTACAACATTTTAATTTTATTTGTAAAATAGATTAACACCCTTTGGTCGTTTTAACCAATAACTACTATAGATAATTAAGTAATAATGTCAAAAGCATACGTATATAAGAAACATAATGGATATTGATTTTGTCCAATATTATTTAAGATGAACTTAAAAATGTTAAACATTCCAAATGAAATTTCAGAGCGATAGTTAAGACAGAATAAATACAGCGAAACGAAAATTCGTAACGGCATAATACCAACGCCTAATTAATTGCTCTTTTGTCTTAATTAAAACATAATTAACTGCAACTGAAAAATTAAATCTTCCAAAACTAGTCTAGAGGTACTTTCAAAAATCTTATTAACATAGAAAGTTTGTGCAGTAAAATAAATTGAGTTTTGGTGCTCGTAAAATTCTGGGTGATCTTAAGACGAAGGACCGCGATATTAATTCTTTTGCGGTCACTCACTTTTGACCTCAGAATGAGCGCATGAGCACAGTGTATTGGCGTTGACTCAATCGTATCATCACATAAATGATAAGACAACACAAATCACTGCTTTTTTATTTAGAAAAAACAGTACGCGATGTACCAAACGCATGGAAGAAGATAAAACCATCTTTGACTCGTAAATGCTATTCAAATATCAAAGTGGTTCCACACCTACAGTTAAAGTTTAAAACGAAAAAGGTTTAGTGAACATAGACGAACTCTATTTATATAACACCTGCATTTTTATAACAAATATCCATAATAAGTTTGTAACTAGAACCGCAAAAAATGTTAGACTACTTCCACCAACCCTTAACGGTTTAAAATTTCATTCAATACAATTTATTTAAAAATCATTGAAACATTTCGCGCTATAAATCGTTCAAACTTTTTATTTAAATGAACTTTAGATAGTATTTACAGATTATATTAACAAAATCTTATGAATAGTAATATACTTCCTGAGGATTGTATAAAATATCAAAATACTATTTACCTCTCTATCTTTCTAATGATATAATGAATTTGTAAAACTACGCCTGTTTAATCATATTGTATTTTCTCAAAAGGTGATTCATGTGATTCTGAGAAATAAAGATTTTTTAAACCGTAAACCGGTTCAAATGATATTAAAATGTCGAAGAAGGAAAACACTAGAAAGCCACTGACAGGATAAAACAGAATATATTCGGTCGAATTAAAAACCCAAAGAATTTTGTCAACTAAAAAAAAGTATTAAAATCATTGGTTCCTTGTAACGATGGTAGTTAAAAATACAAAATATAACTTGCATGTTTAAGTGTTTTTTTGCATGTACTCGCGGAAACTACAGACAATATAATAAATTAAATGATAAATCTGCCTTGTGGAGATATGTGGACTATATGGGTTTATATAGTATTTGTTACTTTTCATCGTTTCCTTTATTCCTTCTTTTTAATTAGAGAGCAATGTAAATCAAAAAAGTCAGCTGACTCTTACTTCGTGGCAACATTATATTGTCACTATTCGAGAACATTCGCTTTACATTGCGCCATATTTGTTTTGAGATTTCACAAAGGTATTTATGAGTTTCTGCTCTTAAAATCTTTACTACACAAACATAGAGAAGAGAATAAAGAATTCTATAGTCGCTTCATACATTATAAAATAAATACTATCTTTATATATCGTTCTATATCATAGATAATGTTGTACCTACGTTGATAATTTTTTTATTTCCTGTTGTAATCAATATCGAATTTCCAATAAATTCCGACTCAATATGTTTGGAGTATCTTGAAGATATGGAGCCAATTATAATTACGAATTTCTGTGATAAAAATAATTCTTGGTATTCAATATGCGTATATTAGTGTTTACAGAACTAAGGTAATCGAATGCGCACTTCGTTACTTACAACTAATGATAAATTTAATACAAAAACGTTCCTAGGCAAATATTCAAGTAAAGTTGGTTGTTCATTGATGATGGTTGAAACTGCAATCAAGATATTATATATCATTTTATCTTCTTTTAATATTCTCGTACAGCATTGTATTGCATGTAACTTTTAAAAAATCGCAAAGCTATTTGTTCTATACATTTTAATTTTTTCGAAGTATGTATTTTAATACTATTGGGGCAACCGAATATAGTTTGCTCTGAATATATATACTGGAAACTATATTCTACATAACTTTAGTAAAACGGAACGAGAACTAAAATTATTAAACAAGTTTTTTTTTATATAAATTAATTTATTATTATCTCTCAAATACATTTGACTTGCTTTAGTCATAGAAAATCTATTAAAATTCCCATATCCTCCTATTGTTAATTAACTTAATTTATTAATAGAATTATAGGAATATGTTTGTCATCAACCTGGTTTGCCTCATGGAATTTCCTGTATAAATAAGTGTAGTGAAATCCCGTTTACCCCTGTAGGGCTTGGGGGCTGTGTCCGTTTGACTCTTCGATTTTATTTACAGACAAGTTGATCGGGCTTCGAACCCAGAAGCACTCGTGCTTAACGCAAAACAAACACGTTTAACGCCATAAAAGTAGAATCTAGAAATACATAACCTAAGGGACATATTTACTATGATCGGTCATTGACTGATAGGTTGCTTTATTAAGGTTGCCCTTTTTTACCTAGATTAAGTCTTAAATAAAACACTTTTGTCGGGTTAAAACTCGAAATACAAATAATAGTAAACATTTTTTTCAGACTTTAATCTTCAGTACGTCGGGCCATATTTAAAGTAAAATAAACTAGTTAATTAATATATTTCGCGTTTTAAATAATTAAAAGTGTTTTATTAAAATATTGCTACTCGCCTTAACTACAGACAATGCTTACAGTAAGTTAATAGTATAGAATGTTAGTCAAATGGACAGGTGCAGAAGTATGTCTCACGCCATGCCGTCTAATAGTGCCAATCGTCAACAACTGCGTGATGAATTATTCTTAATCGACAAAAGCAATGTGTAAAATTCTTCGTAAACCAATTAATTATTATACCGATGTTCCGTACTTCCACGTAACTAATGTTAACGTTATTTATTACGTCAGCTCAATGCTTGAGCAGTTCCAGTGTTCCAGCGCGTATCATTGATAAAGTTATTACTGTACAGCTTATCAAGGCGTTATCACATATGGATACGGCACCATCGCCAAATATGGTCACGTAGAATGCGATTGGTGGGACAGTCCGACGGTACGTCTGATAAGGCGCGTTTTATATACATTATCCCCAGCACTCGAGACTCATTTTGTAAAGTGGCCGACGCTGGGACAGTCGCCTTTTTTATTTTTAATAAATTTATATAAATGTAAGTTTATATTCTTGTATTTGTAAGTGTATTTGAATTGTAACTGTGAAGTGTTTCTTCGGAAATTTTATGTTATGTGTCAGCGGTTATGTAATTTCTTATCGGTCACAGTGAAGTGAAAAAGCGTTTAGGAAAAAGGTTTCGCGTGGCCTCGTTTATTAGAAACAGCTGTTTTAAATCACTTTAAATTGTAAATTTTTAATCCGATGTACGATCTGTCATTGAATATACCGGCGCAAGACCTTGTGCTTATAAGGATGGTGGCGTACTTAAGTTAAATTTGAATCAATGACTTCGTGAAGGTTTTATAATATTGTATTCTTATTACATAACATTCCAGTTTTAATGTCTACCTTTTCATAAATTAAAAGTAATTTTTTTATCTTATCTGTTGACTTTACCTTATCAAAAGATAAGTTTGGATTACACACGGTTTGAGTCTCATTAAGAAGTGATATTTGTAGAAGTTACGTAAGATTAATAGACCATTTTTTTTCCAGACTAAATCAAAATGTGCGACGAAGAAGTTGCCGCGTTGGTAGTAGACAATGGATCCGGTATGTGCAAAGCCGGTTTCGCCGGGGACGACGCGCCCAGAGCCGTGTTCCCCTCGATCGTGGGCAGACCCCGCCACCAGGGTGTCATGGTCGGCATGGGGCAGAAGGACTCGTACGTCGGAGACGAGGCCCAAAGCAAGAGAGGTATCCTCACCCTCAAATACCCCATCGAGCACGGTATCGTCACCAACTGGGATGACATGGAGAAGATCTGGCACCACACCTTCTACAATGAACTGCGTGTAGCCCCCGAGGAGCACCCCGTACTCTTGACAGAGGCTCCCCTTAACCCTAAGGCCAACAGGTAGGTCTAAGCCGTACCAGGAATAAATATATCTAATAGATTGCCAGCCACGTAGGGGGAGACAAGTCGCTAATTACGCGCTTCTGTTTCAGAGAGAAGATGACCCAGATCATGTTCGAGACCTTTAACACTCCCGCCATGTACGTGGCCATCCAGGCCGTGCTCTCCCTGTACGCGTCTGGTCGTACCACCGGTATCGTGCTCGACTCCGGTGACGGTGTGTCCCACACTGTCCCCATCTACGAGGGATACGCCCTGCCCCACGCCATCCTCCGTTTGGACTTGGCCGGTCGTGACTTGACCGACTACCTGATGAAGATCCTGACTGAGCGTGGTTACTCTTTTACCACCACAGCCGAGCGAGAAATCGTCAGAGACATCAAGGAGAAGCTCTGCTACGTAGCCCTCGACTTCGAGCAGGAGATGGCCACCGCCGCCTCCAGCAGCTCGCTCGAGAAGTCCTACGAACTTCCCGACGGACAGGTCATCACAATCGGAAACGAGAGGTTCCGTTGCCCAGAGGCTCTCTTCCAACCCTCATTCTTGGGTATGGAGGCCAACGGTATCCACGAGACAACTTACAACTCCATCATGAAGTGCGATGTCGACATCCGTAAGGACTTGTACGCCAACACAGTATTGTCTGGTGGTACCACCATGTACCCAGGAATCGCCGACCGTATGCAGAAGGAAATCACAGCCCTCGCTCCATCAACAATGAAGATCAAGATCATCGCCCCACCAGAGAGGAAATACTCCGTATGGATCGGAGGATCCATCCTCGCCTCTCTGTCGACCTTCCAGCAGATGTGGATCTCGAAGCAGGAGTACGATGAATCTGGCCCATCCATCGTGCACAGGAAGTGCTTCTAAACGCCTAATGAGACTAATAATTGTAACATATGATGCCCTACACCGAGACCCCGAATGGGCGGCTCAAACTACGCTTGTGATCTTTTATTTAAGTACAGTATTTAAATAGGTTGTAAGGTATCGTAATATGCATATTACGTAAAACGTTTTTGACAAAGATTTTTAATTTATTTATTGCAACTAACATTTGTAATAAAAATAATTTATTATACCGGTATAATCCTGGTGTTTCTTTTATCCCTTGGTGTTCATTAAGAATAGGTGGAATTAGTTCGATGGGAGTGGTTGGGTCAAGGCAGTACATTGATTAAGTTAATGCGTTCTACCTGAGTAAGCTAAAATCGATTCGGTTATTAGTGCACCTAATATCATTCTAGGCTGACATGGGCGAGGCAAAGGCCCCATTTGGTCGGGTCAATTACCTGAAGTCATTTGCTTTTTGTTTAAACTAAACTTTATTTAACAAGAATAGGATCATATTTCATGTCTTTAATATACCTCGGAACGTTTTCGCAGGAAAAACATATTGGTAACGCAAATAAACTCCATATGAACAACTTAGCAGTGAAGTGATAAAACAGGGAAATATTCCAAATTAACACAATAATAATTTAATTATGGATATTATTTACCGCGTGTCAATCTTCTGGTGTCGTTGGCCTGTATTTTAATTAATTAGTCGTAACGGTATGCGATTTCTTATTAAATTAGGCAGAACATACAAGTTTAAGCTGACGATATCGTATCGACGGACTTATTGGTTGGCAATGTATAAACAATAATCAACGTTTTGCTCCCAACCTGGTCCAACATTTTTATGCTAAATTTGGACTTCTGAAACATGTCTGGAAATCTGGATATTTAACGGTGGGTTGAAATGTCAAAATTCCATCCGGCCATAGATGAAGGAGCTTTGAACTTTAATCGCATTTCGGTTTCAGCCTGTGGATTTGCAAATATCAAAGCCAAATGGGTCAACAACGAATCTAGTTTAGATATTATATTTATTGAAGTAAAGAACCGTCTAATTTTCCATCTAGGTATAATTAAATATTACGTTTTTATTATTATTATTTTGTTTTTAAACACAGGAGGATAGACAAGCATGGAGTCCTCTTGATGGTACATGCGCTATCGACCCATATCGGCTTTAGATATTGGAAGATCCCATGCTGTGATTTAAAAATAAATTAGGCCGATTTATTTTTACCTGACCTAGAGACACTTGCATAGATTATAAATAGGAACACACCCACAGTGCGTTTCGTCTGTGGTAAGTCTGCTGTGTGACGTCACATAAACAAAATGTATTCCTGCAGCATCTTAACTAGATTAATTGTGATGTTGCGTGCGTGGAAAGACCTACGAGTCTGTTTAAAAGTATTAGTGTACTGCATTAGTATAAATTAATAAAGGATTTAAGTATAGACCGGGCTATAAATGTATTTAATTGCTCCCTAGGAGAATTTACAACAGTAGTAGGTATATCTAATATGTAAACATAAAGATATAATGTATACATCTGTTAATATAATTTATGTAAAAAGAGAGACAACCAATAGAACTATGAAGACTTTACTCGCTTTATTTAAAATATAAAACACTTTTAACGGTTTAAAACGCGGAATATATTCATTAATTGAGTTGTTTTTAATTTATTATGTCAGTATGTGTATAAGTAGTTGATTTAAAAAAGTCCTTTTTTTTATTGCTTAGAAGGCAACTTCGTTTTTAGGATTTTTAAAAATATTTTTTAAGGATTTTAAAACAAATTTTTTTTTGATTTAATTATTTGTAGCGTCCTTTTTTATATTAATTTAGTAAAAAACATGGTATTTTGAACTTATTAACTTTACTATTTCGTGATATAAACCGTTTAAATGCGGTATATTACTCGCGTAAAGTACGTAGACTATGTAGGCAATACATATTTTAGATTGTTTTTTATATTGTAACTCGTTCGATGAAATCTTTACTGATGGTACAGCGAAGTTTCGCTATTTGCAAAGAAGCCAGACAAGACATAGTGGTGGGGCGGGGGTCGATTTGCCGTCTCGACAACTGTCTGATGTCGAGTTAAGCATATCAGTTCACGATCTAAATAACAAAGGAGGTATTAACAGGATATACATTAAGATTCTTGTAAGAACCGGTTTTAATACCTCACCTGCCAAATTTCAGTTGACACTTGTTATATGAAACTCAACTTTTTTTAATCAATTCTTTTTCCTAGTTTAAAAAGGTCTCTTAAAAAAAACTATACAGATTCTTTTTTCTTACTTGGTAATTATTATTGACTAGCTGAACGTTATTTTACCATATGAAGGTTCACATACGAATGGTTCTTGTGAGTTAATCGTAATTTAACTTAGCTTTATAATATGAGTTTTTGAGAGAGTTTAAAATGTACGATATATGAAAGCCGATAATTGGTTTTATTTTTGTTCAGGAACAGGTATCCACATCCAACTCATCTTTGTTTATAGTCTAATGGCTGTATGAAGATACCCATCTTGATACTGAATAAATAAATGTTAAACAAAGAAAAAATATTATTTCTTATTGCTGTGCATGCACGGTTAAAGTTAATAGTCGTCGGCAACAGCATTTATGTTGCATATTATTTTTTAGGAATTATTACAATAATTTATTAGGGTAAAATAATTTCTATTAAACAAGGGTAACGGGGGGAAATTAGATTTTAATAAGCCTGCTATACACTAGCGCCATAGAAGGCCACCCCCGAGTGAACGAATGTCAAGGGCAAAGCCCGATCGATGCACCCCGCCCAGCCCGTCTGCTCAACGCCTGAATACACAATGTTATCAACTTTAATAATTTATCGCTTCATATGAGATAAAAATCACGTACGTTTGAAATTTATTTCAATTTCGCCACATATACCTATGTACTATATCGTCTTGAAAGCCGAAACCAGCCAACGATGTTTGCATAATTCATACATTTGTTTTTATAAAATGTTAATAACATTAAGTACAAATATCACACATACGCTAAGAAATATATTGACGACAGATAAAGGATTAAACTATAAGCATAGATTTTTATCTTTCATCCATTAACACTTAAAAAAATAGTAGATATGTTTTTAACTTTGCACTTTGCGAAAGGAACCATAAATTGTACTATCCCAAAACATTACAATTTATTGAATGGATTACCTTTAAATACTGTCTATAGTTTGGAGTTATTGCCAGCAGCCGAAACGTCGGGCCGAAGTTAAAAATCGTTTCCAAATATTTAAATCGTTTTAAACCGTTAAAGTGTTTTATTTAAATGAATTACCTTTTCCATCAAAATTCGTTGCACGTTCGCTTACGCTGTAGACTATGAAAATTTTACATAATAGCAAAAAACCTGTACTTCGCCGATTTTCGTATTTCGTTTATCCATCAAGGTTCTGCGAAATTAAAAAAAAGTCGCATTTTTCAATCCGTGAATCTACAGAATCGCAAAACCCATTGTCGATTATGGTCGTCTGTGAAACCTGCTCGCAGGATCGTAAAAAAACCCACCCCCGTTGCCTACCTTTTATCGACATAGAATTTCATTGCATTCACAACCATATGCCGAATGAATCTAAGCTTTATTCCGTTGAAATAGGATTTATTATGACTTTTAATTAGTGTAAAACGTGTATTCGTATATTTATAGTATGTAGGGCAACTTGTTTAAGCGTTCGTGTGTGATGTCTGATGAAGTGTAATGGTGTTTGCTTCGTTTAAAAATGATTTTATTATTATTTTGTATTTAATGCCGCTAATACGACTGTACAGTGCTTAGTATATCTCATAAGAAGTATTTTTATCTTTACAACTTTTTTGACAGTTCAATTTTTAAGAACGAATCGCGGAAATAGTCCCACAAATTATTATGTACAAATACAATACTAATACAAATATTTTTTATTGTCACAAAGAAAAAACGAAACTTAAAAATGAATGACAATTAACGAACGCTAATAATAATATAATAAATAGCTATCTATTTCAAGCAACCGCGGTGAAAATCGAAACTCAGAATAAAAAAGGTACGCAGAACAAAAGAAAAGAGTACTTACTTAAACTAATAAGAACAATAATATAAGAGATGAGCTTAATCTAAACTTAACTATTATACTTAAATTAAAAATCGATTATCGTTCCGTGCTGTTGCTCTAACAAATTTAGCTACCGAGTCACTTAGGTGACTTAACTAAAGATAAATATTGGATTCTTAAAGATTCTTAAAATATGTAGAATGTAGATACTTCAAGAAATGTTTTACATGTTAATAACAAAGTCTATAGTATAACAAAATGGCTAATCTTATTCTATACTCTCTCAAGGCGATGTAATTCAACGGACATCTGACGCGTGACTCATTCACGAACACGACAATTCAATAGTTTTAATATTCTGTCACCGAATAATATTGAACATGGCAGAAAAATTAACAAGTATTACAATGAAATACTGTCTGTAGTTTACGCGAGTAGTACACATTGAAATAAAACACTTTAACGGTTTTATTTTTTTGGTTTTTTTTTTTCTTATTTTTTTTACTTTTTTTTTTTTTTTTTTTTTTTTTTTTTTTTTTTTTTTTCTTTTTTTTTTTTTTTTTTTGCGCCGGGGTTGGGGGGGGGGTTGCTTTTTTTTTTTTTTTTTTTTTTTTTTTTTTTTTTTTTTTTTTTTTTGAAATGTGTACTATTCGCGTAAACTACAGACAGTATTGATTTTGTTGATTTCAGTAAATGTTTTATTAAATTAGCAAGTCTAGAGTGTAAACTTTTTACGCGTACGACGACAGGAGGACGCACTAGTAATTGAATTAAGAAATTACTGTAAGGAAGAGTCCTTAATGTTTAATAATCACGTAGATATTTGTAAAATATATTGTGACTACAGCTTAAGAAAATCTAACAGAGACAAACTTCATCGGGAAACGATCGATGTATACAGTATCGAACCGTCTAAGAAGCCTTTCTTTACTCCCTTGTGTACTGGAATCGTCGCAAACTAAACTAAATTAAGATACAATTACGTCGTACTGACAACGGTTGAGTTGCCTTGCATTTTCTAAACGATTTATACTGTTTATTATTATGGCATGTTCTTTATAAAACAATACAATGGCGTTACCTACGTTGTTTCCTCCGTTGACTCACATGACTTATGATCGATGTTCGTTCAATCGGAAAACATTATGGATTTATTGATATTTGATTAGCATCGTCGTGACTTTAAAAGGGCCTTGTCTAGCCATTACCTGCTAGTACGGCCGTAAGGTCGATATTTGCGACGAACATATTATTATGAAGATATTACATCTATAGTACACAGTATATAGTTCTGAAAAAAAAATGAAATAGATTTTCAGATATTAAACCAACGACTATTTTTTGATAAAGAGGTTGTTTAAATAAAATAATTTGTTAAATTAAACGTTGTCAAACTGCTGCAAGCATCCGAAACATCGTCGGGCCGCATTTAAAACAAAATTAACTAATATAATTTGAGTTAAACCGTTTCTTTTTTACATTATTTTACATATGTGAAATATATTTCACATTTTTGGTCAAAATATTAGTATATCATGTATACTTTATAGTTACATTTAAATTAATTATTTATTGATCTTCAATAACTTCTGAAAAAATCATTGGGAAATTTAGGTGTTAAAAAAATTCTTATCAGTTGTCCAGAGTACATATCCCAAGGTCCCATCCGTATGTAATATTATGTTTGTGAGTCACCAATATTTTACCGCATTCGAGGTGAATCATAGTATTAGACTACACTTCGTGTTTAAAAACATCTTATACGTGGAATGTTATTGATTTTGGGGTTATGGCAGCGATATTATTGAAATAAAGAAGACAATTAATAAAACATAGATTTAAAACCTAAATCTTTAAGAACAAAAATGAACGCTTTATTTAATAAAACTACTCAAATGACAACGGATTTTTAATTTATTACATTACAATTAATGGTTTTAATGTAATTTTGTAATTTTTGATAATAATACCGATTTTTATGACGGAATGAATTGGAACTACAACACAGATAAGACTACAATAACCGGATAGGGGTTGTTTTCTGTTTAGAGCGCGGCACATCCGCTAAAATCCGGTTTTAACTCGTCTTACAACTTGCGTGACAATCCTTCTGCCTATAGATGATAAATAACACCAAATATTATAGATTCAATATTACTATGAAGCAGCGTATTGAAAATTCAGAATAATTTATTTAGCTCAACGTCATTTACATAGATAGTGTTTGTGTGAAATAATGACAATGTCAAAAATAGAAGCTGGCTGCATAATTAAAAATAAAAATGTATTTCAGACTATGAAGATTATCCAACAGTGACATAAGTTACAATTAGTTCTTGGTTGGGTAATAACTATTAAGTAACTATATTAATTTTTGCTTAAAGTTTCATTACTATTTTATTGAATAATTGTAAAAAACAATGCTAACTGCTAGCTACTTACACAAATTAGGTACGTGCACAGCTTTCGTGCACTCACCCATTAAAATATTAGATAAATATTTATTATCTGTATGGTTTAGGCTTGTACCAAAGCTTTTAATGTTTGTATGTTACATGATAAACTTATAACGCCCTTGACCCTCTGTAATGACCCCTTGTGACGGAAGCGGGGTCTACAAGAATTGTAATGAACTGACTCAACGTAGTACGCATGCGTTATCTGACTCATCGAAAGATTGTGAATTTTACTCTGATGTTTCTTAGATATGTTGAATCATGATTTGTTTTGATTTTAATATGTCTATGAGGAATACCGTGTCTTTGCACTTGCGATTTTTACAACCAGTACATAACTGTTCCAAAGATTCGAACCGCATTAAAATTACCAGGATTCGATGTTAGATACTGGGGGATCAATAAAACAAAAGTATCGACAGAAATCAATTAATAAAATTTCTATCCGTTGATCAAACACATAAATAGTAAGGATGGGAATGTTTCACTTGTGCGACTTATATTAAAGATTTTAGGTTTCTTTTGTTTCCAAGTCATGAACACAAATTTAATTTGATAAATAATTAAAAGTGCACTACCTAGATGATACTAATTATTGCGTTAATTATTTAGAAAATCTTGAAAAGTGGATTCGTGGAGAAACTTTGCATCGAATTTAGGATTTTTGATGGAATGAATATATTTTTCTGCGTCCGAGATGAATAATTATTAATTACGTATGCACGTATTAAATTAGCATTAATATTTACGGAATCACGTTCTACTATATTAATTTTAACATCTATCCACTTTGTGAAAGCTATGAAAGTTATACATTTGATTTTGGTACAATTTCACTTTTTAGTAAAAGAAATCATTTTAAGAAGTCGAATATTTATAGAATCGATAGATTCGACCTTAAAAATAAAGATATATCAGGGAGGTTGTCATTATCTGCTGGTTAAGGAAATGGGACCCCTGTACAGTCACCGCAAAATTACGAAATAAAGTCTACTTTCTCTGTATGGAACTGTAACTGATTTATCATTTCCCACCGACTTAAACTTAATGTATTTTGCATTACATAACATCAATAATAATATAATATCTTTCTAACAAGAAGACTTCATCGTACAAAGCGATTACTAAAGATAATATAACATGTTTGAGAAGGTACTTTTGTTTTATTATGGAATTAATTAGATTAAATCGATTTTAATTATTTTTAGACTACCCACATGGTAATTAGACTGAAATATATTAAAAGATCCTAGCAGCTAGACTACCAATCCAAACGCTTTCACCATATATGGTAAAACGTTTGTGACCAATGTCAATCTTTTGTCTATAGGCAAAATCAATAAAAACTTTTCGTAAAGATTTTACGAACCGCATTCGAATTTCAATTTGAGTAATGGCGGCGTCCTGTCATACGAATTTGACAGTTTTTGATTTTTCTTAGTTCATGCATTTTTGCAAATAGCTAAATTCGCATATTAATGAGTGGAGTAAATAAACACAATTATTGATATTGATGGCAAAGAATCATTTGTGCTGACGTAACGAGTTCACGATTCACGAGCCGCAAGAATATCGCCCAGCCAAGTGGAGCGTAGCGTAGAAACAAATCAATTGTTTAGCACTGGCCCGTCAAGTGAACCGGCCGGCATTTTGATCTCGCAAAATAATTGTCTCCGATCTGTTTGATTTTTGTAAGTAATTTTAGGATTTGGTAGCTAACTTCGAGTTACAAGCGGTTGTACCACATCAGGCAAAAAAAAAATCAATACGTATGAATCTCAATAATGTAGCGGAAGTATTTTGTTAAAAAATATTGATTTTTTAAATTAACGATATTTTTACTGCCTTATTCGATTGCATATAAAACGAACTTAGACGCGTAATGTTGTCACAGGCAGAGCTAGCTGTATCGATTAGCATCTAGAGTCTAGACAATACAAATATAGTAACGTGTAAGCTTGAATCGTTGAGACCTCGTTATCAAGAGCGCGCTATCAACGTTGAACGGTGATGCTGCGGCCTGCGGCACTAGCGGCGAGGGGCGAGGGGGCGCGCAGGCTCCCTGCAGCGCAATACCATATATGGTAACGAAAACTCACAATGCCTCCGATTGGTCGAGAGGTCTCCGCCGTTGCGGGCTCGCGGGTCGGGGCGCCCCGATAACCAGCCTCACTTATATACTCCGCGAACCTCGAACGCCAACATTCCACGAAGTGTGCTCGAGTAGTGGTGTTGTGCAGCAGAACCGAGGCTGTGCAATAGCGATTTAATTTATTTATTTAATAGGACTATTTAATTAAACGTAAGTTGACGTGCGGTGTAATTTTAGTGCATAATTTGTGTTGTGTAGTTTTAAGTGCGACGCGCGGTCAGTGACACGGGGTGGCATCGCACGCCGGCGACCGGGACTCTGGAAACGCCGGTTGCGGTAGGGCGTGGTCGAATCACACGCTACTTTTTTTCGTTCTGGATTCTTAATTGGAAAGCTTCAATTAGAATGTAATGTGTAGCTCGTGACCGACATCGGCCCCCGTGTCTCTGCGCGCTCACGCCACGTCTTATTAGATAGAGCCTTATTTGGTTATGTTTGCGTCGCCCACCGTGAAAGCGTGGGTGATACGATTTCTATATTAGTAGATGGGACGCCACAGATTATCCCAACATACTGATTTTTAATCTTGTTCTACCTAATCTAGTATATCACTCATATTAATTAGATTTTGCGCTACTTTTATTTTAATTAAATTTTAATTCAACTTTTTTCTATTTCAGACTAAATCAAAATGTGCGACGAAGAAGTTGCCGCGTTGGTAGTAGACAATGGATCCGGTATGTGCAAAGCCGGTTTCGCCGGGGACGACGCGCCCAGAGCCGTGTTCCCCTCGATTGTGGGCAGACCCCGCCACCAGGGTGTGATGGTCGGCATGGGGCAGAAGGACTCGTACGTCGGAGACGAGGCCCAGAGCAAGAGAGGTATCCTCACCCTCAAGTACCCCATCGAGCACGGTATCGTCACCAACTGGGATGACATGGAGAAGATCTGGCACCACACCTTCTACAATGAACTGCGTGTAGCCCCCGAGGAGCACCCCGTACTCTTGACAGAGGCTCCCCTTAACCCTAAGGCCAACAGGTAGGTCTAAGCCGTACCAGGAATAAATATATCTAATAGATTGCCAGCCACGTAGGGGGACAAGTCGCTAATTACGCGCTTCTGTTTCAGAGAGAAGATGACCCAGATCATGTTCGAGACCTTCAACACTCCCGCCATGTACGTGGCCATCCAAGCCGTGCTCTCCCTGTACGCGTCTGGTCGTACCACCGGTATCGTGCTCGACTCCGGTGACGGTGTGTCCCACACTGTCCCCATCTACGAGGGATACGCCCTGCCCCACGCCATCCTCCGTTTGGACTTGGCCGGTCGTGACTTGACCGACTACCTGATGAAGATCCTGACTGAGCGTGGTTACTCTTTCACCACCACAGCCGAGCGAGAAATCGTCAGAGACATCAAGGAGAAGCTCTGCTACGTAGCCCTCGACTTCGAGCAGGAGATGGCCACCGCCGCCTCCAGCAGCTCGCTCGAGAAGTCCTACGAACTTCCCGACGGACAGGTCATCACAATCGGAAACGAGAGGTTCCGTTGCCCAGAGGCTCTCTTCCAACCCTCATTCTTGGGTATGGAAGCTTGCGGCATCCACGAGACCACTTACAACTCCATCATGAAGTGCGATGTCGACATCCGTAAGGACTTGTACGCCAACACAGTATTGTCTGGTGGTACCACCATGTACCCAGGAATCGCCGACCGTATGCAGAAGGAAATCACAGCGCTGGCGCCATCCACAATGAAGATCAAGATCATTGCTCCCCCAGAAAGGAAATACTCCGTATGGATCGGAGGATCCATCCTGGCCTCTCTGTCGACCTTCCAGCAGATGTGGATCTCGAAGCAGGAGTACGACGAGTCTGGCCCCTCAATCGTGCACAGGAAGTGCTTCTAAGCGCCCGCATGCGCACAGCTGCCACTAGTAGCGGCCCGCGGCTCGGCCGGGTCCCGCGGCCGGCTGCTCAACTCAGGCTTGTAATCTCCGTTAATTTAATTGTACGTAAGATATTATTGTAATTAAATCGTAATAGCGACGGAAGGACGGAGCGCGACGCCGCGGGCGCGCCTCGACCTCCGCCCCCTCGGTACTGCACTCGCCAAAGGATCTTTTGTAATCTCATGAATGATGATTGTATGTGCTGAAACGGATAAGACTACTTTCTTACTAGGTCATTTATAAATTATAAAAAAGAAAATACATGAAAAAAATTCGTAAAATTTAACCCGTCTTTCTTTTGCACCTTGGCCTTGACATAGCTAGTGTTCCAAAAATGATGCTGCACTCGCGACTAAACGGGAGCGTTGCTCGACATTGACCCATGGGCAGAAATAGATCGATGCGGGAGCAACGCTCCTATAAATAACTACTACTCTCGTTACTTGGACGCAGATGCTTGGTCCATTCATACGTGGTAGAACGTTACGAAAAAGCCAATTGTTTTGCTTAGTATGTCTAGTAAAATATTGTTTACTAGGTACTTGGTAAATTGTTTAGTTGGTTCATCCTATAGTTACGGAATTACCTGTCAATATAGAAGCAAAAACGTTTTTTACTCTCTTTCATAAACTTAATGGTATTGGTGTACTTTTATCAAAGTCTTTAAACCGTATTAAGTAGTTTCATGATATTAGCGGCGTTGAACAAACAAACAAACTCTTCAGAGCTTTATAATATATTAGTATAGATACGTGACTTGTATTCAAAGTGCCTGCAATTGATGACTACCCCCAGAGTCGTTAACCGCCTTTTTCGTTAAACATGACGTAATACGCACTAACTATATTTGTAGCTGAACGAGTATGGAATGTGTGATGTTATAGACTGATGGTCAAATATGACCATAGCGACTATTCGCCCACCAAACAAATATTTTAAGTAATGACGTATGTAAAATGAACCTACCGAATTGTTATACTTACGTGGAATTTTTAGTAGAAGTGGAAACATGGTAGTGGTATGAGATTTTCTTTTAATTTCATATCCCTTTGAAAAACAACTACAAGTCTTCGAATTCGTAAATACAGATCAAGAAAACCCATATATGTTTGCGTCTTAGTTGAATACGCATATAATTCTCAAGAATAAGCAGGGCATTTTAATGAAACTTTATTTCTAACAACACAGTTTATTTCGAATTTCAGTGAAGCATTATGATTAAAAAATTAAAACTTAAAACTAAATTTCTGCCACAAAGGCGCAATACATAATTTAAATACATACAAGCGCAAAGTTACATAAATACAATAATTTAGTTGTGTATATTAAATATTGTATAATCTATTTTATGTACATTACATTGGTGTGGCATTTTATTTTGTACGAATAAATTATTATGGAGTTCTCACTATTTAGCTATTTACGGAACTTTAGTGGAGTTTATTGTCTTTTGTATATTTGAAGAATAATTAAGAGAAAATTTGCAATTCCTGAGGGATAATTTAAGCAGTAAGTCGAATGTATTTTATCAATTATAATCTTTTAAGAATTGCTAACTATTCTTCTAACTCTTAATTTAGTAAATATATATAGATTGTTGATACTTATTTTTTAACTTCATGAACATTAGTAAATAATAATTAGTTTTGTTTTCATGTAATAACGTTAAAAACTACATTCATATTATCTGAAGTATTAGTAACAGCTGCCACTATCGTCGTTGAGGTAATATTTATGTTTAATAGATATTAGTTATATTGTCAATAGATCAAATGGCAAAAAAAAAACTAAATCTAGAAACTGAAATTAGCGCCATCTACCGCTGTACTATGAACATTCCTTTATTGAAATAGCGTCGAAAAAAATTGTCCGACCGAAGGACTTTCGGACAATACTGATGAATCGATTGTGGACAAGAACAATTATATTTACTTAATTAGAAAGAGGAAATACTTAATTCCTCTTAGTTTTTGCAATTTACGATCTTTATATGGCAATGATGGTTGAAATAAATCCCTACTGATGGTAACCATCAGTAGGGAAGTAAGTCCAAAGTATCGGAGTGAAAAATGCGCATATTTGTGCTATTTTATATGGATAACTATTTTTAAACCATCATATCTTTACTATCCAATGTTACCTACTCTTTCTTAAGGCGCATCATCTTGTAAATGTTAATTGTAAAAAACAAAAACGTCTATTCATAAAAAAAAACTGAGAAAGTTATCTAACTAAAAAAAAAAAGAAATTGGCAAAATTTACTAACTAAACTGGACTAGTTCCTTCACTAAAACTAAACTTACAATAACGCCCGGACCGAGTCAATACAACTACGACGACGGAGTTGCGCAAAATCACAAAACATGCAAAATTCATTCACACCTTTCGCAAATAGACGGCGCAAACGTCCATATTGTTTAGATCATTCGATTGAAAAACGGCTTAACCCTATTTTCGAGTTATCAAAATGTAAAATGTTTCATAATTTCATGACAAAGAATGACTATCTAAAAACGCTCAGCGTCTACACTAGGTCCAGCGCGTAAAATAATTATAACCTAAAAACTTATTTCATATTCTAATGCTACAAAATTACATATAAATAATGGTATAAACATTAACTAAGCGTATATGCCTTGTGCGGGTATTGAGATTAATATCGGGGGGTAGCGATAGCAATACAGTTTAAATGGTCTAGACAACGAATTCAAAATCATGTCCACTATGTCAGGTAAATAACCATTTGGCGACGTGTACTGATCAAGATAAAACTATAGTCTTGTTGATGGTACACCGATCAAAAAATAATTCTATGCTACTCTATATTCATGTTTCTCTGATTGTTAATCGATAGTCTAGTAACACTAAACTTGCTACCACCTTGTAGGACGCACACCGTTAATTCTATTGGTATTATAACAAATTTTTATAAAAGTTCACGTATAAAAACTCGTATCGGACAGTAAAATAGGCTCTATACTTAACGGAACACATTTTCGGCCCTAATGACCATATAGTCATTTGTACTTTAACCTATAAGGCCACGAAACAGTCACTGTTGAACCATAGACTACGTTTCACTATCTCTTATGCTGTCCTCTGTGGCTTGTCGGATGTCGTTCAACGGGTTGCCATGTACCCTGAATCTGTAGACGCAGGTGTACGTCGGGTTGCCATGGTTACTCTCCACCCGCAATTCCACAATGTCGTAAGCGACCGGGTATTCCACGCCCCCTATGTTTGTTGTTTTTGGGTATTGGACGGGGAAGTACTGTATCGCTGTGCTGTTGCCGTCGTATACGTAGTTTCCGAAAAGATGAGGTTCGGGGTCTAGTTCACCGTGGAGACCCTAAAATTTTAAACACAGATTGAGCACTAAAAATTATTATATAGTGGTGAAATTCATTCCTTATTATTTAAGGTCTCTAATAAACTGAGACGATACAAGGCACTGTTATGAGCATATAATTTATATTATTAATGGCATAGCGATGTTTTCTATTCTTCGTAGTAATTGTGTCGTTAAATAACATTATTAGATTACTTACGTAAACGGAGAAGTTTCTAGGCGCAGACTCAATTTTCCCTTCAGCGGCGAGCAGCCGCGACATGTGTTCCAAAGAAAAGCCTGTCACTTCTATAATTGCGTACGTGCGTATAACTGCAAAGAGGCAAGAAAAGTATAATTGTTATAAGTTTACTATTTTAAAACAAATACTGTCTGTAGCACGTACGTGTTTAAAACGACATATATATTGGATACATTTATTTGAAAATAATTTCGGCCCGATGTTTCGGATATTTTGCAGTAGCCGTGGTCACAGCGAGACCAAAAGCATCCGCGTATAAACCGCGTTCTAAACCGTTAAAGTGTTTTATTTACATTATAAAACAAATCAGATATTACCCAAGTAACCCGGAAATCCCTGGAAAGCCCAGCATTCCGCTGGCATATTCCCCGGGGTAAGAGCGTAACGCGGCGAGGTGTAAACCCACCATACCGGCAAACCTAGGATAGAGTACTGCTTCGTCTTGATCTGGTAGAGCTCAGTGCATCTGGTTGATATTACTTGACCACCTGGAAAATAAATAAAAAAATAATTCAATCAATGATCATGCTTTACTTTCCATTTTTCGTATATGGCCCTTCTAGCTTACCGTTGTAATACCACTGAGGATATACAGAAAAAAGAATGGTAAGGAAAAGTTTACTTTGGAGTAAAGAATTTTGATGGACATGAGTCGAATGTAGTGTTTCAAGCTGTTTGCTCTAACAATCGACCATCCTCTATAAAAATAATACCTATATTCAGGTAACATTTGAAGCAGTACCTTCAAATGTTACCTGCTTCTTTCGTCTTCTTACCTGCAGATTCCAACGCGTAATCCACCAATCCAGTCTTGTCAGCATCGTATATCTCAAGCATGCTCGATACAAGCCGTCGTATCTCCTCTCCATCATAGGACTCAGGGTGATCCGCCGGCGCTGCCACTGCCATCCTCCCCACGTACTCCTTCACCTTCTCAACTATCATCTCCATCTGCCGTCTCTCCACTGATAATAAATGCCCCTGCACCAGTTTCCGTATATCATCCTCGCTCATGTCGGGCTTCCACGACGTTATCAACCTGTCATGAATCTGCTGACTCAGCATTTGCATCTCGTCCCTCTTGATATAACTCTTATCGAAGTATTCCTTCAGCTTGCCAGCCACCGCTTCACTATTCTCGTTAACAGAGAGGATCTGAATCAAATTCTGCTGCAAATGCTCGAACGAGTACCGCTCGACCCTCGATTCTAGATCGTCGAATTTCGATAGTTTGGCATCGAATAACTTCAATCGATTGTCGACATTGATCGCCCAATTCTCGAGCGCGGTCACTCGTTTGCTCAAATCAGCATCCGGGTTGAGTACTGGCGGCGTGTATGTATCGTTGAGGCTGGGCGGGCTGTATTTATAATCTGTAACGAGAAAAGCCGGTTACTGATGCTGTAACGCTCTGTCCTTCCCAGGTGATCGAGAGGAAAAGGCAAGCTCAGGGAAGGACAGAGATTCGATATTGAACTAGGGAAATGTTTCACTCACCTAAAAGAGCGTCCAGCGAGCACTTTGTATAGGTGACGGAACTCTATCCTTCCCTGGCGAGGGATGTGGGAGGAGGGAAGGATAAAAACACACTTTGAATATAAAAATTAAATTATATTAATCGAATTAGTACAATCATATTATTTTTCCACACACCTATAATCATAGCCGGAAAGCGAATAATTATTTAAGACTAATTTAAGCGAATATGTAGTTCGGATCCATTATAAACTAGAACAACAGGTACAAAGTGATAAAAATATATACTTCTTGCGCACATTTTAACAAAACAAATGTAGTAAATACAAACAAATATACCGTGGAAATATATATAAGGGTAAACTGCTTCGTTACGTAATGCGTTACAGCGCCAGTCTTTCAGTTTATCACACCTATTGGTCGCAAAGATACAATGAATAATATCACGATCGCTTCAAAAATCCAAGTAAAGAAAGCGTCACGTTCGCTTGAAACTAATTCTATATTTCTTTGAGATTTGAACTCGGCACTTCTTACGCTTAGCGCGATTCCAGTCAACGTATCCGTAATAATTTCAAAAAAATACTTTTGACGGGTTTAAAACGCGAAATGATTTAGTTAATACATTGTTGAGAAGGTGTAAATTACACTTCCACGATATATTCGTTCGTAATTATAGGAAGCGAGAAGAAAAAAATGTGAGACTGACATTTTGTGACATTGCGCAATGACTTCAAATATAAATTAGTTTAACGTAAAATTTCAATAATCCTAATATTAATCAAAATCAACAATACGACTAGTGTGTTACTTTAAATTTAGTTTCACCGATGTAATATGGCCACATATAGCAAGGTACATAGTATTAATGATAGACATAATGACGTCACAGCAAGTGAATATGTTTTGTCCCTTTCCCTCTAATACGAAAACAATTATGTTCGAAAAAGAAAAAACTATGGCTATAGCACGACTATAAATTTGACTTTTTGACATTCAATTAATTCTTCTAAAGTAGCACGTTTTGTATACAAAACATTACTTAAAAGTAAGAACATTTATATTTTAAAGTATTTTAGTTTATACAAAAATAGTAAGCATTTAAATTACATTAAGAATACTATTTTAAATAATAAGAATTTGTCATATTGATATAAGACTGTAGGTATGAAAGAAGAATGGATTAGATCCTGTCATTATTAACGAGACTATGTAAAAATAAAAGAACTTTAAAGCATTAACAGACATATCAAAATAATTATTTTTAATCTATATCAATAAATAATCTATTTGCACTATTCTGCGGTAAGCGAGTATAAAAATAGGTGGAAACATTGTTAAGATTTCAATAAAACACTTTAACGGTTTAAAACGCGGTATATACTCCCCGTGGCTGTTGTAAAGCACACGAAACGTCGGGCCGAAGTTAAAAATAATTTTCAATTAAGATTAATACGTGTTTTAAACCGTTAAGTATTATTTTTTTATTATCTTATAACGTATACATTTTGTTTACAAAGACGAAAAGGCGATAAAAACTTAAACATACGACCCCAAGACACAAAAAAGCCAGAACCTTATATTAGGAATGAATAAATAGAATTCTAAGTACGTTACAATCTAATTTTGGTTCGCGTTTAAAAAATGACATTTCGTTAAAGCTTTTTTTAGTCACTGGCCTAAAGTATTACCAATTATTAAGATTTCGTTATATTTTTATTTATCTAATCTTATTTTCCAACGTGAACACTATTAAGGGTTGCATAAGTAATTTTAATTGTACTATTTTAAAGAAATAAAGTTATGTATTTATGTTGTTTAATAGAGTTTTTTTAAGATTCGTTTAAAATTACCATAGCAACCAGTCAATTAAAATTAGGGCATTAATCAATTTGCACTTAAAATCACATGAATCAATCAATATAAAAGATAAACCTTCACAAACGAACTATTTCCATGGTAGCTCACTGCTAATTCTTAATAAAATTCAATATAAATAGAATTCTAATCAAATAATATTCATATTTATATATTTTTTGGTGCGATTTTCATCGTCAGATTACACGTTTAAAATCGTTTAAAAGTAGTTTGCCTGTAGGCCCCATATGGATAAACAAATCAGAATCAATCATTTCAGTTACGTTCAATTTAAACATTTCCGTTCGTCAAGTCTATAGACTATAATGTAAAAAAATGCGCCAAGAAACCGCTATCCGAAAACACCACTCCAGTACCGGCGTATTTCCTCCCAACAACTATCCGCAACCACTTGCATATAATCGGAGACATCCACCATCCTATTCTGGACCGCGTCCTTGTATACGGTGTACGTTTTCGACACGTCCGCCATCTTGGGCGCCAAATCGATTTTGGGTAACGTCAAGTTAATCTCTGGCAGGGAGATCTTGGGCAGTGAGGGCAATGTCGGCTTGTAAGTTTGCAGGGATTTAGCGGTGAACTCAGACAAATCTATATAAATATCGCTAAAGTTCGGTATGATAATATCATCCATGTTTTCATACGAGTAGTGCACTGTAAAAAATTGTTATTATACGTGATAGAGAACATTATAATACATTTAAAATTCTATATTTGCATTATAGACCTATAAAAATAAACCCCAATAATTATTATATACTAATATGTACAAATTTATTTTCATTTCATGACACATTTAAACATGGCGACAACTATAGGACACTTCTATCTTGATAACTAAGATGGTATTTATTGAATATATAAAAGTCAAATGTTTTTATAGTAACCAATCTTCGTACTGTAATATTGGGAAAGAAAAGTTACATTCCTATTGGTAACAATGTTCTATCTATATTTTGTCTACTTACATCCATAGCCAAGCACAGGAAGCAGCAGCAGCAACAGAGGCCAGAGCTTACGATTTGCAGATTTCTCCTGATAACTCGCTGCACGATATTTCTCCGTTTGCATCGATTTACTCGGTAAAATCTATAATATTATTTTTTAATTAATAGATATTAAAAATAACCTTTATAGTGACGCTTGTAGCACAGCGTAATATATTAGAATCGGGCTTGATCATGTCAGTGAGCCAATTCCTACCAAAAAAATATTATTATTTATACAAAAGAGAAAGACCTTCATTACATCTATATATTTATACAAATGATATGCGTCAATGCATATCATTTTTATCGGTTACTAGTTAAAAACACCAATTATTATTGGAAATAGGTAATTCTAGCCATAAAAAATAGTTAAGTTTCAATTTTTCTGTGCGGTTGAAACATTTATATGTCCGTTTTACTGATCCATTTTTTTACAGCATCAGACTTAGCTGACTTCTGTGCCCTGCCCGATTCGAACTCTCTCAGATCGGAATTAATTTCTTTAAAATTATTATAATATAAAAGAAAAATATACCGTTTCAGTAACTGTAGTGACCGTTGTCGTAACCATCGTCTTGATGATCGTGTAGATCCAGAAAAACGGCGCAGCCGCTACACTTGCAGTCCGTGACATAATTCCGGCTAAAAAAATATTCGAACTTTAGACTATTAGTTAAAAATAGTGGTCTAAACCTATTTACATCGTCTTATAAAAGAACAAATTCTTCTTCTTCGTCTTATAAAATACATATACTTTATTTCATATATAAATACAGGGCATATAGTTGTTTAGTGAGAAATGTATGAATCGATAAACAATAGTAATTCAATAAATAACCTTTAGCCGGTCTCCTGTCAGTGTAAGGATATCTATGCGATGGGCCCACGATTTTTCTATAGGCGTTTCGAGAGCTGTTTGTGATGGTTGTCAGGATGGAAGTCAAGAGTTGTGTGAACCACCAGCGCTCCTCCTTGACAGCGTACCCCCCATTACCGATGTATGGGCCTTCGTCGTCTGAACTCTCTATCGTCTGAAATTGAAATTCAACAATCTGTAAACCATTCGGCGGTGCTAGCTACTTAGAAGATAAATAGGCTATGTAGTAGATACAAAGAGACAAAAAAAACGATCATCTTACTATGCTTTGCATCTATCTATCTAATGTAGCTATGATTTATAAGTAAAGTGTCGTGGGTTAGATTACTACGACCGCATCAAAGATGTTAGTAAAATAAATATGAAAAATATTTCAGAAATATTTTAAAACAGGTCTGGAAAACTCGGATATTGATTTGGGGGGACAAACCACTATCCACACACAAAGGCCCTAATATAAGTATGTACTATGTCGGGCCGTAGTTACAATAATTTGTTATTAAGTTATTTGAACTAGTACATTTCGCGTTTTAAACCGTTAAAAGTGTTTTATTTAAAATGCAAAAAATAATAATTTATTCATGTATTCGTAGATAGTTGAATGTATGATTTTAAACTGAATAACGGCAAATCTGTTTAGGTTTTAATGACATTTCTCTGTTTTGAAGTTTATTTTTGTTTGACAAACAAACAATTCCAACTATGTTTCTTAATAAAGATCATACCGTGAACCGCTTTCTTGTGGTAGTGCTCGACCAGGTGGACATCATTTTGTCCGGTTCATCCACCGAGTTGGGGCCTTGAAGCCTGAACTGCGAGAGGGATCGTCGAGACATATTGGGGACGGCCACTTGACCTGGAGCCAGCTCCACTCTGTCCCGGGACATGGGCGAGTAGGTGTAGTCTGTTTTCGGGTATTTGCTGGAAGAGATGTTGCAGTACCTTAGTATTTCACTTAATAATAATTATACAATAGGTATGTCGTGGTACTTCTTAGTAAAATCCCGTTTCTCCCCCGTGGGGTATGGGGCGAACACATTTCTATGTCAGGCATGTAGTTGGGCAGATACTGTCCCTTCCCGACCAAATCATTGTTTGTTTCCCCAGGATTAGACCTCAGAATCTCTAGCGCTTAACGTTAAGTTCGTACCGAGGTGGTCCGTGGTACATATAATACCAGAAAGACTAAACAATATGAATTCATTCATCTAACTAAATCTATTGAGACTTTTTTTGGGTCTGAAATAAAATAAATACATAGTAATACACATAGTATTACATAGTAATTTTAAATGTGTAGTTATTGAGTCGAAAGTTTATTAAAGTAACGGCAATAAAAAACTTAAATTTAAATCGACAGTTAAAACGAAATGTTAAAGGTCTCTTCTTCCATAGAAGGGAGGAAGAGGGAGAACTTAGTCCCACCATGTTGCTTTACCACCAAATTAGGTGATTAACGACGGCTTAACAGCTTAAAAACACTTTAACGGTTTATATTATTAGAAATTATTTTAATTCGGATGCTTTGCAGCAGCCGTGGTCGCGGGGGTGCAAAACATGCGAATCATCGCAGTAGTTTTTTAGCCAATAGACCGACGAGGGAGTACAGGGACGTATAATACCAACCTGTTTTAGCGTTACCATTACGTAAAGATCGTGGGAAGCACAAAAGCGTCACGTGAGCGTTACTTTTTCGGCGAAATTCTATTGTTTACGTGAGCGACGAAATATAATGAACCGGGATCGAGTCACAGACTGAGGTTAGCCGTCACGTTGAGGATTGCAGTGTACAAATATTCCTACTCTCGCCGTTTGACATTTGCGATTCTTAATTTAGGATCACGGTTTAAGACATTTATTTCTCGAAATTAACGAAATAATACTCATGACAAATTATAATTCTAGAATATTATATATTGTCTGTAGTTTACACAAGTATACATTTAAAGTTTGTAACGCGAAATGTATTAGTTAGCTTATTAACAATTAATTTTAACGGCGCGAGGTTTCAGCTGCTTTCGTAGTTTTAAACTGTTAAAAGTGTTTTATTTAACGAATCAATAACGATTGAAAACGAATATGAAACATAACACAAGTACAATTAATTATACACAAATATAATTGCACCAAACCTAGATTTAAGATATTACCTAGACTCATGCTGAGATAAATAAAAATAAACCTTACATTATTTTCCTTAAAAACATCTACTCGGTACAGACATTTGAAAGTTCTGTTATTCGTAAACATTAAAGCACTAGGCATTGAATATATTCTAGAAGCACCAAGCAGTTTTATACTTAAGAGAACACATTTAAGGGATTAAAACCGTAAGTTATAAATAGCAAATAATAACATAATCAACTAATCTGCTATTGATTTTATTACATTTGGTGCAGTTTATAGATACTCACTAAAACAATTTTCAGTAAGCTATATTTACCTAATTGTAACCACATCTTCTACTGTCTCCAAGTGTACCATTTTTACCGTGTTTCCCATTGCACAACTTTTTTAACCACACAAATTAAATTAACATAACTAATAAACACGTTTACGGTCAGATGAATACTACTGTGGCTAACAAGTATTTTGGCTATCTACCCTCAAAATATAATGAAAAATAACGACTTTTTTGAATTTGTTGTGCTTACCCACAGTAAAGATAAAAAATATAGAACTCAACTACGACCCGATATTTCGGGCACTTTGCAGCAACCATGGTCTGCGAGGATGCTTTTTTAAATAAAAGTGTTTTATATCAATTTAGAGAAGTTCTAACAAGAAACAAAACATACTGTCTATAATCTATATACATATGTCTGCCTATCTGGTTTGCTCGTTAGTTTGGGTTCGGTCTAATTTTGTTATCCGGGTAAACATAAAATGCATTCTTATATGTTAAGGCCCAACAACTACACTTTAGTAATTATGATTTATGTTGATTTTTTTCATGAAAATTCTTAAAGAGCTAAGCAATTTTAATATTTAAGCAATAATTGTATTGCTGAGTGAGTAAAGTCATAAATGTTGATATTTATATTTACGACGTATACTCACTTCCAGTACTCGCCTGCCATCTTGTACAATCTGTAAGGTAGGTGGTCTGAACTAGGATCTCTGTCGAGAAGGGCGCTCGCATCAGCTAAGGCTTGTTCAGCGAACGAGCTGTCCGTGGAGCATGCGCTGTATGTCGGACTACCGATTCGGGATGACCTGTACAAAGCAAACTTAATTCGTTTACATATTACTACTCTAGCTGGAACGGAAGTCTTTTACAATAGTAGGGGTTTTATGCTGCATTTAAAACATATTAAAGGTTCATACGAGTAATAAGAATCTTGACGAATTTAATTTATTCTTAAATATGTATAATTTTACCCGCTTAACCACAATACGAATAGCTTAATTAACGCGTTTTAGTCCGTTGAAGTTGCATCAGTAGCATTTGAATACATGTTTTGTCATGTAATTGATATATTAAGTTAAGTATCATTTAAAGATATCTCCCATTTCTAAAATCCACGTTGGAATTCGAACCCCGAACCACTAGACTAGACCAACGAGAGCTTGAAATATATTTTTTTACGTAAGTTTATCTTTAAATACTGTGTATAAATTACGCGAGTAGTACACATTTAAATGAAATACTATCGCGCAGCGGTCTCCCCGTGACCACGGCTGCTGCAAAGCATCCGAAACTTCGAGCCAAAGTTAAAATAATTTTCAAATAAGTTTAACTAATATATCGCGTTTTAAACCGTTAAAGTGTTTTATTTGAAAGCTTATCTTTACTAATTTTAAATATGCACATGAAACTTTCTAGACAAACTTACATCGCAATTCTTTAGCGATGATAGTTAAGCCAAACGTTTAAGGTTGGCAAAGTTGCAGACAAATTGCAGACTACCCCATTGTATTCACATGTTATTTGTAAGTGGGTTTCCAATACTTGTTTTATGTGGACACCCTTGACTTTTGGCAGCTGTTTAATATATGGCAGATGCATTCGGGGTATTTTTAGACATATTGCACATTTTAGACCAGTTTGGCATTTATATTTCAGCCGGTATGGTCACCTGCTATGTCAATGTGGACAAAGGTATGTACAAATATATTTTTTGAACTTTTTAGGATATGCATTTAATTGAAGTGACGTCGTATAACATGTGTAAAATTAAAAAAAGGCCAAGACTCCTCCGTACCATTGACTGTAATCTGTAGTCTAGCCATCTTTCATGTATCGATATCGAACAAAATTAGGAAAACAAATGTTCGGAGACTCTTTTAATATATATTTTTAGGTATTTTCCCCACATACTTTGTGAGAGTTCAAAGTGCATAGCGATCGCAATTCCTGAGAAGTTTCAGTATCGTCCCCTGTCTGTTAATGTAAAACATTAAGTAACGCTAAAATGGTGGCACATTAACGATTCCCAGGTGTAATTAATTATATTATTATTAAACAAACAAGCGCATACTCTGTTTTTAAAATTAGTTATCAGCTGTTTAAAAATGCCGAAGTCCGCTTCGTCCGCGTATAATATTTATATTGGGCATGAAAATTAGTTTTTTGTAAAGTTAAGCTGTTACCCACGACCATGAAGTCTCGTGGACATTTTTTTAGATCATTTAAAGAGGAATCATTCTTTCATACATATTTTGGGTATCTTTAACGGTTCGCAGCGCACGCAAAGGAAACTCTCAAAGATGACTAATTTTTCCCGTTCTTTCCACATTTCCCACCTTTTTCTTCACTCCTACTTGTTTATTTAATAGCTTAAAGCCTACCTTAAATACTTCAACCAACACAAAAATATTTTTTTAATTCGAACTAGTAGTTGCTGAGATTAGTGTGTTCAAACATACAAACAAACTCTTCAGCTTTATATATTAGTATAGATAATATTCTACTTGAAGAATATTATGTTTAAGCTGTTAATAACAGGTTGTAGCCGCTGAGAGCGACACAATCTGAGATGATGACGTCATAGATGTAACTCACCTGTCGTGCGTCACATTGTGCGTGTTGATTGGACTTAGAGTGACGTCAGCTAGCGTGCTGTAGTGGCGAGAGCTGGACACGCTCTCATACTGACTGTTGATTTCGTTCTGTTAACAAATAACACTTGGTTTGAATACATTCGTATACCTGAACTTATTTTTGGCGAATTTTCTTACAAAATAATCATCTTGTAAGCAACTCGGTTGCACAAGATATACTCAGACACCCGTTGGTAGAACCGTGAATTTTAAAATGCTAGATACTATTAAACGAACACAATAAAAATGCATAAAATATTAACTACTTTACTAAGTAGGTAGTTAATATTGACAGCGTTTAATAACTTGTAATACGATGTCACAAAAATGTTATTATAATAAGATCTCAGCTAATATACAAAAGTTTGTAACGATAAATATTTTCTTTTTCGTTAGTAAAATGCTTAACCGATATTAATAACTGTTGCTAAAAGATTTATTACCATCTTATGTACCTACCACACATATATAAATTACCTCTGCATTTTCGTCCGTTCACAACTTATAATAAACGCCTTCGAATTCAGTAGCTATGAGTTATGACTTAAATTAACGCGAAAACTAAATAACCGAAACGTCAAAACGGTCAAGCGAGCATCGGTGATGTCATTTGTAACGGTCGCACAATTTCTTGTAGCGCGAATTCAAACTGCGCACTCTTGTGTGACGATGACTCAAGTGTAGTGTAACCATGATTTGGAGTAAGAAGAGTTTTTTTTTCGGGCTCGTTGGTCACAACAATGTATGGTTAATAGTCAACGGTTTCTGTGTTCCATCCACATTGGGACCGACATGGTCCTATTCAATTTTTATTTTTTCTGAAACGCTAGACTTTGTTTGGTCGTTTAGATTTCAAATGGGTGGTGGGAATATCGAAAAATCGTCCGGATCACGAACCAATGTCCACAAATGAAAACACCGTTAAGTCTAATCGCATTCCGATCGAATATTTTATTAGATAGAAGATGACGTATAACAGAAAACAACGCCACACTACACGTTGACTTACGGATATGTTATGTAGGCGTGATAGTAAATCTAGATTTATGGACAATGCTTATCGTAAGTACTATTCTTGAAGTAAATACACGGCGCTGATATCCAAACTAAAATAAGAATCAAAAAAATATTGTAACACGAAATACATATTTAGAAGTTAAATCCTGCTTTTTTTGTAGACACATTTTTGTATCTGTTGCTCACCCTAAAATATTATGATTTCCAAGAATATCGAATCCGATACCTCAAGGTTAATGATTATTACAAGTTTAATTGAAATATCTGTAAAAATCGAAACGTATGGTAACCCTGTTAGTAACTAAGGATGCGTTATTTATAGATTGGAAAAGAAAACTAATTACGTTTAAGTGTTGAGTGCATTAGATGCTTTTAAGTTTGTCTACTTATAGGAAGTAGTATTTTCAAATTGGTTATATCCGGGATCTACTAGCTACTTAATTGAAAATGCCATTTGACTTGGAACGAGACAAATGCCATTCACAGATTCTCTCAGAGTATTAAGTTAGTGTTATAATAAATTCGGCCCGGATCACGAACCACCGTGCACCGATGGAAAAGACGCAAAGTGCGTTTTGTTTGATTTCTGATTGCCCAAAGCCAAAATATGTCAACAACACATCTACCAATATTTCTGAAATATTTCCATCAAGTGGACGCCATAATTGTTTGTTCTCATTTGTCATAAAAATAGATCGAAATAAAAACTATGGAAAAACGTTATACTTTACCGCAGCTGCTTAATAATAACTTAAATAGTTACATACTACAATACATTTCACGTTTTAAACGGTTGAAAGTGTTTTATTTAAATGTTTTCTATTACTGTAAACTTAAATACTTATTTTACTTTGTAAAATTCTTTTATTTTAAGAATAAAAATTACCAGCACCACAAACAATGTCAGTGACCAGGCTCCTAAGGCTCTATTAGGCATAGACCGTGAGAAAATCGAGGTGAACTAACGCCAAGTTAGTTAAATGTTTACTTTGACGATAAGCCACTTGAGGAATGTACCACTACCAAAATTATAATAGAGATTCGTGACAAAACTCGTTTGTAATAACAGGACAACTGAATTGTTAATTAATAGAAGAATAAATTAAATGACTATAGGGCTTTTTATAGGAATTACATGGGACGCAGACGTAATTTATAAGACAACAATTTTAAGACTTTTTTGAATATATAATAATTCAAAACGGCGAAACATATTATTAAGTTATATTTTGCGGATTTCCAGCTTAAAAATAACTTAACCAATACATTTCGCGGTGTGTTTATTTAATTGTCTTCTATTATTGTAAACTTTATTACTTATGTTAAATTAATATATAGCTAATTTATCAGCACGAAAATCTGATTTACAATGTTTACTACTATTTGTGGTAGATTAGGAATAATATAACAGCCATAAACAATACTTCATGGCGCATTTGTTATCTATGCCTCAACCCGCGGGCAAGCCTTAACGAGCGACATTTTAGTAGTCATATAACCTGAACCCTGCAGACTGGCACGACTTGTGGTATTGTAAATCTGGTTACCTTTCTAAACGATCTAGCGTTTGAGCATAGGAATTTAATAGGAACAAAGCTACAGGAGGGCAGGCGTTTGTTTACCAGCCTTTGACGACGTTTAGAGATTTTTAAATATAATAAAAATGAATAAAGGTTGTCTCGTATAGACTATAACAAGGGTTAAAGTTAAGCCATGACTAAGTTCCAACAACAAGCTCCAAATAATTTCCAAGCAACGTGGTCTCCATATTTCTCAAAAACTCGTCACGTATCGAACACATACCAAACGAAAATACACATTCATAACGAAATATACATTCGAATAATATTATACTACACATTCCAAAATGGAAATACAAATTGAATTTTTCGAACACAACAAAATTAAGTTAAACCCGACCTCGCAAGACATCGACCAGATCAATGGTTCACCCATCACTATAGTAACAGACGTACCTTAAATCCTTCGTGTTTAAATAAAACTAGGTCAAGATTTGGGCGGACACTGAATTTATCGAAAATTCACTATAAAAGCGCGACTTCACTCAACTGTAGTTTAGTAATAATGTCCATATGCGGTAGGGATTCGAAATAAACCAGGCGGGAGACCGCTCGAGTTATATTTGGTATTTTTCCTGTGAATATATTTTCCTGTCAAGATTCCAATTAATTTGATATTTAATTGATTCCAAATGAGGCAAAATGGTGTCAACAAGAGTAGAAAAAAAAAGAAGAAAAGTTAATAGTATAATTCATAAATTTAATCGACTAATTAATTCGTGTTATTCGAGAGTTTGTGTATTTGGCTAAGACTAAGCTAAAAACTTTAACTTTTAATTATTTAAAACGAAACCAATCACACTGATAAAACTACCGAACTACTCAGCCGGCATATAAAAAAACCAATATCCGTAACGATAATTTGAAATTCGAAAAACAATGTCAAGTGAGACATTTCCAATTTTAAATTTCAACAATGTTTGAAAACTTTAATATTCGAACATTGTATTTAAATATCGAATAAATTTTGAAAATCGTTCTTTTTCTAATGCGTGCAATATGCCATGGAACTGTAGCGATTACAACCACGAGTCCCGACCACATGTTTTATTTAGATCCAATATGAAATAACACACCCGGTTATGGTGTTACGAGACGCAAAGGAAAATATATCTTAATATAAGAAAGATTAAATCGTACTTAGCTTTCTAAGTTGGTAAAATAGTAAGTGGGCGTCTGTTAGGTTCAATATCGGAATTGATATTTATGGTGCATTATAATTGTTATTCAGTTAACGTACTGCTTAGAGTTGAACCGCATTGGGTAGGAAATGAGTTCAATATAAACAGTTTCACGGAGTTATTTTACTACAGGCAATAGGGGACTTTTGTGCCCAGCACAAAATTAAATCGTTCCTCCGGTACTACGTATAAAGGCAAAAACAATGTACCAAAGTTTTTATAATACAATATAAAAAAAAGTTTAGCGTAGGTGGTAAGTTTAACGTAAGCACATAAGAAAGCTAATTGTTGTGTATAACGCAGATTAATCGTATAAAAATTTACAATCATCAATACCTCTTTAGAGAAATGTAAATATTTTCTAGTGAACCGCCTAAAGGCTTACATGCAATGACTATTCCTTATATCGCGTCATACACATAACATTAACCTTGAGAATTCTGTGTCAAGTTGTCGCGTGAACTGTGAGGCCATCTATAGAATGTAAAACATCGTTTCGTTGCACTTGCATAATTTTTATTCAAACATAAATTGATATTAAAATTTATTTATCTTTTTATTGAAACACAGGACTGTTTATTACAGTCCACGTACAGATAAAACAACGACTATTGGTTGTTCTATCTGTACATGGACGACATCTGCATCGTGCATTTTTGGTTACATGAAGAACTCAGATACGATGGGGATCGAACCCAGGATTCATAAAATGCAGTAAGATAAATAGATAAGATAATACGATTGAATTAAAATCCCGGGGAATGATATTGATGATATGACCACGGCTGCTGCAAAGCATCCCAAAACGTCGGGCCGAAGTTAAAAATCATTTTCAAATAAGTTTAACTAATACATCGCGTTTAAACCATTAAAGTGTTTTATTTCAATGTGTACTACTCGCGTAAACTATAGACAGTATTTAATGATATTTTTTTCAGTTCGAGGGAAAAGCAGTGTGACCACTGCCTAGCTTTTAAATAAATGAGTCTGTGAAACAGACACAGAAACATGTTTGCAATGGGCTCACATTTCAGGGTTACATAGACATATTACCTGATAAATTTCCTTCCTATGTGCTTTCACTCTATCCAAGCTCTCTTCAGAGGAATAATCGGATGTCTTGATAAGCGTCTTAGTTGCCTGTCTTGTGCGATGAGCTGGAGTCTCCTCAACTTCTTGTACTGAATCTATGCTGCCTTTTTTTGAGGGTGGTTTTAGCTGCCTGCAAAATATTCTTAGATTAGTATATGGATACTGATGAGTATTTGTTCTATGTTAAGACATTTGATTTTCTGTATGTGTTTGAAAAGAAAAAAATAAACACAACCCACATATATTATTGGGAAGAAATCATGAAATATATTACTTAACATATTGAACTACCTATAGGTATAATATATCAAATCTTTAATCTTATCATCCTACATTTCATAGCAATGATTCAACACTGAAATTGAATAAAAAAAAGTTACATATAATAATGCATTGAGCATGTATACTAAGGCTTGATTGCTTCTAGAGTTAATTGGAATTAATTAACAGAATACATTTAATGCAAATATGACTACAAGCTGGCAATGAAAGTATAATGAGAAGCGATAACACCTTATCAGTTTTCAACAATTGAACCTGTTGATTCATGCAACCTTAACATTTCAAGGCAAATTATAGAAATGTGCAAAAATATTTAGATAAATCAAGTAAATATAAAATGTATTTTGCTTTGTGATTCAACTCATGTATTTAATTTATTTTTTAGTATCTCCTACATTTATGTATCCAAAAACCGTTCCAATCAGAATGTTACTACCATTACTTAATAAGCATGTTTTTCACTATAAAATAATATTAAAAGAACACATGATCTAGGTATTAGACAAAACAATACATGCTTATTTTTTTAAATAACAAGTAAATTTTTTATGCCTCCTTACATAAGTGGATAGTAGTATAGCCATGTTTGAGGATACAAATGCTATGCTATAGAACTATTGACCATGACTGTCCTTACATTAGCCTTCAGTTCATGATGTCATTGTGGTGTAAACAACCTTAGGAATTTTTAACACATGCTACAAACCAAGTTTTTGGTGATTATAACAATCTTTATAACATTATACATTAAAAAGCCTATACTTATTATATTACGTTATATGTAACAAATATGTATCATTCTTATTTTTATATATCAGAAAACTATCTAGGAAATATGTAAAATATATATAAAAGTAGTTAAATATTATAAGTACAATCAAGCCAACAGATAGGAAGGGCAAAGAGTTATTTTTTTTTAAAGAGAATTAAATAATCCAGCATTGGAAACCTTATACACAACACAACAACATTAGATTTTTGTTTAAATAGTTGTTTAGCCACATTTGATAAATTACATTTACATTTGTGACAGAGTGTTTAATCAATGAATTTCAGGATAATTTTAAAATTCATTGGCAAATTAATATCTACCAAATAGTATGAAGATAGCATTTAAGTGTAAGTATGTAGTAAAAAGGTAGTGTTTAAAAAATATTTTACTTAATAGGTGTGCTCCTTTTAATCGGAGTTTTGCGTCCTGACTTTTGGTGGGAATGCTCTTCAGTTTCCAAGCAGTTGTCCCGGTCACAGCTTGAACGTAAAAACGGCGTCTTCGATCGGGACCTTGACCTCAATCCACTAACGGTCGGATTCTCCATAATTAGTTCAATTTTAAACTCTTAACAGCAATACTAACGTAAAGCTTACTTCTATAACACCATGATTCACACGTGGGAACCTTGAATGTTACTGGAGCACCTAATTATTTATGCACTGGTACATAAATATTACACAAGGAGATCTATTTCTGTAGCTTAAAAGCAATGCCGCCAAAACGTAACGCAAAGCTTGTGCTCACGCTTCTACTGATATTATTACATAAGTTTTTATGTAAAGTAAAGTAAAAGAAACATCACTGTGTTGCAGGAGTGTAAACGTCGTAATACACAAGAATTGTACACAAAACTAACGACGGCAGACGGAATTTGTAAATTTCGTAATTCACCTTGCATAAAACGACGAATTGTAAATGGTGGTGACGTCACATTTGACGGCTGTGAAGGATGATTGACAGTTTTATATCTGATAATAAACATACCGTTGACAATAATACGATTTTAACCATTATTGTAAGTTTCTTTAAAATAAGATCATATAACGTAAGTTTAACTAAACTTGCGAAATAAAAATTCCCTATAATTTGTAACTTCTGTTATTTAATTTATTACCTGTAGTTACTTTTATTTAGCAATGCAATCTGTATAATTATTACCGGTTCTTTGCTGTCAATTGTCAACGTAAAAAAACGTAAATAAAATACAAATTTCGCTACTTAAGTTCGGTGCGTAAGTTTTGAATACGCCAAGTAGAAAAGTAATATAATGTAAATAGTGTTCAACTCAAAAAAACGCAAATAGTTAATTCTTCTTGCCACAAACGAAAAAAAAAACACAAAATGGATATAAATAAAGTATTTCTTAAAATTAAGGAGTTAGACCATACAAATAGTAAGCGAGAAACTTTACGCGAATATTGCAGCAATAAATTTGATGAGGTACCTAACGCCAATTCGAGCTTAAAATTATCATTAATAGAAATAACAACATTTGTTAATATTTATTTTAGATCACAAAGTATTTACCTCGTCGGATATTACAGAGTGACGGCGCAGATATTTTAGATTCTATTTTTAATGGCTTACAAACTTCTGAAACTAATAGTAACAAAGCAAAGGTACTTTATTAAATACTTTTTCACGCGGTTTTTATTATAAATTGACCTTTAAGCCTTGTGCTCTTACTATTTTCAGATAATAGACATAGTGTTAACTGTGATGAGAAAAGAAGCAACATCTCTCACTCACTGTGGAGATGTGATAAGTCGTCTGTGTTTAGAACTTCCAAAAATGCCAATTGCTGACCTGATACGATGGAATAATGATAGTGTCCAATCTATAGTAAATGACAATGATGTTAATGTGATGTAAGTTTATGCATTTCATATATTTTAAATTTTCTTACAAGAGTCTGACTAAAGTTGTAATCTTTTGGATACAGTTTATTAAATTATCTAGCTTATATATAATTAAAGTAATGATAAATAGAAAGAAGATTGGCATTAGAATACATATTGATATATTCACATATGTGTTCATAAAAGAGATCTTGAATAATCTTAAAAGAATATTTTCAAGTATTTTTGACAAAAAACATCTTTATAGTGCAACTTGCTTGTATAACAGCACTGTGCGGTCTGATTTACCTTTACTTATTAAAAAAATTAAAACTTTTAGATGGAGAGATGTTCTTCCTGAATGCCTCTATGTCATATCATCTGAAAGCACTGTGAAACACTGCGGTTCTGATATGTCAGGGATTGAATACAAGGCTCAATGTGTTCATTTACTATGCATGTGTCAATGGAAGGAACATCAGCTAGTACCACTCACTACTATGTTTAAGTTAGTATCTTGTAATCCATTTTAGCCCAAAGCTTTGTATGGAACTTGAGCTTTATATTTTAATCCAACCAATTATTGTTTGAGCACTGGGCACAGGTCTTCTGCCTGATAGAAGAAAGTTTAAAGCATATTCACCACACTGCTCTAGTCTATATTCTACTATGTATACGTGTTGAAAACTATGATTGATGGCTTAGCATATTCTTCAGACCATAGAGGTGACTATACTCTGAAGATATTTGTGTGTACAAAGCCTTACTACCAGCAGTGATATTTGCCTTCCTCTAACAGTGATATCTGTGTTGAAGTGGTGGACAGCCTTAAATAGATATAAACAAAATAGTCCTTTATTACCCTTTTTTTATTTCACAGGGACATACAACTATCTCGGTCTGACCACAAGCAAGTGGTAAATAAGATATGCACCTACATAATGGAAACGCCGCCTGAAAGTTTACCACCTTTGCTCCATCAGTTATTAAAGTAAGAATAGATTAAGGTATTAAAGTCAAATGGTCAGATTGTTATAAATGTTATTTCTATTTGCTTTGGCTTTCACCCAATTTTAAATAAAGACAAGTATTTGATTTCACTGCGTTAAACCATTAAGAATAAAAATATTACTTTAAAAATAATAATTCAGAGCTGAAAAGCTTATTGACTATGGTTGTAGGTTACTTATTAAATAAAACACTTCCAATGGTTAAAAATGAGAAATGTATTTCTTAAATTCTTTATTTCTAGATTATGCAAATTATACAATGTGGAGATAGTACTAGCCCACCTCAGTCAATACTTCAATTTGCATTTGTATAGCAAATTAGAGCCTCTGCCAGGCGATTCAGAATCAAGCACGATGGAAATTGATGATATAGGTATATATTTTACTTTACAATAATAACCAGTTCTTAAGTTTTTGTAGTTGTCGCAAGTACATCATTAATTATATTATTTTACTGTTTAAATAAAAAAATGGAATCCTATGCTAAAATCCATAGTGGACAACAATCCTTGTGAGTCAAATCTGTAAGAACTTAGCTCCAACAACAACAGACGGTGCTAAGCAGATTTGATAATGGCGTTAGGGATACTCCATCTTTACCCCCTGTGACCATGACTGCTGTTCTTAAAACAAGTACGCAATATAAACTCAAAGCTTTAAGCTCTTAGATTATTCAAGCTAAATTATCTGCGGCCTTCGTCTTATGTTTATATAAACATAGTGATAGATAATGTCTTAAGATGGCGATATATATATATAATATATAAGATGGCAATGGTTCCTGTATAAATTGTTTGTGTAAAATGTCAAATTAATTCTTATGTTTCTAGTGCAACATAGCCCTGCTGAACTCAGCCGATGCCTGTCAACCTGCCTATATCATATATCCCAGGGGGCAGCAGACCCTGAGTTAATAAGGAAGCATATCAAGCAGTGGCCCAAGAGCCAAATCCTGCGAACTCCATTCCTCTTAGACCTGGCTCTAGCTGTCTCTGACAAGGGCTCAGAATTCAAATCAGTTTGCTTGGATGTAAGTTTTGCAAGACCATTTTCTCCTAGTATTTGAATTACTTTACCACCATTTAACATTTCGCCTGGAAAATAAATTTACCAACTCACGTAAAAATATTAAATAACTATACTATTGCATACATGGAATTACTCTCTCTTTCTAAGTTTAGGGTTATTGTTGTTTATGTGTAATTCTTTTTTTATGATAGAGGAGGCATGAAGTTCTCTTGATGTGTGAAATACCTCAGCCTTATAACATTTTAACGAGATGCGCCGTGCGACTTATTTTGCTTTGGATAGTCAATTATCCATGACCATATGACTGAAATCCAAACGCGATTAAACTTCCTGGCTCTTTGACCTAGCTTGGGACTGTCGAATTTTAGTACGATATAATAAAAATATTTCTTTAAATTTAATCTATTTTTTTGTTAAAGTTAGTATTTATTGCCTTACCGACTTAGTATACTGTGTTTCCCAAGGTGGGACAGAGGGCGTGCACAGTGTTTCGCCTTTAAGACCCATAACTTAGTTTGGTTATTGAATACCGTTGACACATATTGACTGATTTTAATGAATATTTGTTCACCTGTGTAGCTAAATTGTTAAAGGTGTTGCCTAGCATTACGTTAAGCACGGAAGGTCCTGTGTTCGAATCCCGGGGTAACAATAGTTTGTTTTAGTTGAGTAGGGCACAGCGGCCTCATTAACTATACTTACGCTTGATGCAGAAATGCCCCCATTTATGCCCTATCCCCACGGGAGGGAAACGTAATTCTACCTTCTTAATTAATATATTTACGTTTTAAGTCGATAAAATGTTGTAAATGTAGTGTTTTGGGGTAGAGCCGTAATAAACCTGTTACCAATAAGCCAATGTTAGTTTAAAAAAATATATAATTGTTCAAAATATTGTTTATAACACAAATGTTAACGTGCAGGTAATAAAGGCAGCTATAGAACAGCGGACGCTAGACGATCTAAAAAGACAGGAGTCAAGTTGGGTGCGGTCTGTTCTTCCACCCGACATCAATGTTGCCAGTGTTCTCAAAGTGTTGACTGAGGAGAGGTAATGACTTTATCATATCAATTAAAAGTTGTCGTGTAATCATATCTGTGTGTAACTACATATCTGTGTGTAACTACATATCTAATCATCTAACATGTGAAAAATATTAAAGTTTTCAAAATACACATCTACTTATTCCCCCAAGCTTGCTGTACTACTCATAATTATGTATAATAAAATGCTTCGTTTTGTTATTTTATAGTAACAATTATATGAAATAGAAAAAAGTATTTATTCAGCATAGTTTTTAAACCCTTACTAGGGTTTTTACTACTACTAGAGTTAGTAAGTGATTAATGGTGAGGACGTATAATGATTGAAATGGGATTTTTCTGAAAATCCTCCCGCTGATTGTAGCTTCCACTTTTCAACAATTTCCTAGCTAATATCTTACTTTCCCGAAGCGTGAGTGAATATATATTTAAAAGCTTATTTACTTTGTTATCTGTACATATTTCAGCGCGAATCACAGGGAACTAACCGTTCGAGGTCTTATCAACTTGGCGTTCACATTATTATCTGTGTCGCGAGTTAAGCCGGTTTCCCACGCATGCTGGTCCCACGGAAAGCTGATACTCGTCAGATTGTGCAAATCACAACCTAATACTGCGCAACATATACTGGCGCAACTTGCTGATAGGTTGTCTGCAGATGCTAGTCAGCGGCAGTACTCAGGTAAGAAGTCTCAGATTTAAGGTAAACATGGCATCAACTGGTCGAGTTATTCTACTGTCTATCATGGATTTGATCCAGTTGGTATCTACGATTTTTTCATAGATCTATATAACATAAACGCTTTTCAATTATATTACTCAATTAGCTGTGCCAGCGATTTCGTCCAAGTCGTTATTTTTGGCATTAAAATTTGATATTGCAAACCTCCTCGTCTTTATAAATTATAGCTTTTACCCCCGACGTCGGTCGCATCCCGTCGTTCTAGCAAGTTAATCTTAAAAGATTTATTTATTTATTTTTAACTTTTTTTTAATATTATCTATAGTTTACGTGAAGTACACATTAAAATGTAACACTTATAACGTAAGTAATTAGAATTAAAAATAAGTTAACTAATTTATTTCGCGTTTTAAACCGTTATGTGTTTTATTTAAATTTTATACTACAGAAAATATATCACGTGATAATTATTTGTTTACAGATTGTCTCTACGTTCTGTGCAAGTTGACACCAGTCTCAGTAGAGTCTTGTACCCAGCTGAGTACGATACTAGAAAATTGTCAACCCGGCGTGTATTATACACACTCGGCCGCGGTGTATGCAGCTGTCCGTCCGTTGATTACGTTCAGTACCAGAACTAGGGACACGCTCGTTATGGTCTGTCGTAAGGGCCTATATTCGAGGTGACTTGCATTGAATATTCTCATAATTGGTTAAGTAATCTCGTTATGTATGTTACGCGATTGGAAGTTAAAAAATCCCCCGTTTTCGAAGTTGGTTGTAGTTCATTAGTAATTTACAATAATAAACTATCTAGCTGTGACCGCTTTAAACGCAATGGGAATCCACAAATATAAATCATTTTCCCCGTTTTTACCATATTTTCCATTATTTTTTCGCTCTTATTGTTCGCATTTTGGATATTAAAGCCTTCCTCGATAAATGCTCATAGCACAAACATATTTTTTTTATTCAAACTATCCTAAGATCCTAATTCTTCACCTTTATACTACAAGTATAGATTTATAATGGTTTTAAGATAACCAGAAAGAAAATTGCATAGAAATACTCATATAACTGCAATTTTTAAAAACATTTATTTTCTACAGATAACTTATAATTTTATTTCCAGAGATTCTCAGCACAGATGTCTATCATTAGTGGGCTTCTTAACAGTCCTGAAACACATGAAACTGTCATCTACTTCGCTGAGCAGCACTCAAAGCAGTTGCAGTGAGCAATACAGTGCACACTCTTATCTCACTCAAATTACTATAGAGTTACACGCAACGCAGCAAGGATCTAGGTATTTTGATACGTCACTTTTAGATATTCAAAACTAAATAGGGCGACAGCAGATCGTAATTTATCTTTAAAATACCTCACCGATCACATCTATTGCGGGGTATTTCATATTTCATCATCATACATATACTTATCCAGCACGGCTGACCATATTGTAGAAATCTCAACCCGGAGATTTCTTTGAACGACGGAGGCGCCCCCCCTTTTCCCATAACAGAGGGAAAAGGAGGGGAGTTTTGTGGGTTAAATCTATTTTAAACTCTGTATAAAAATGCTTAAAAACAACAAATAACGTATTTTGGCATTGCAATTATGGAAATTGGATTACCTCGATATCAAATCTTATGAAGCGCCTTCCGTCTATTTAGACTCGGGAAATTCTGAAATCTACAGACTGAATACGAAAACATTCCGTGGCTTTTCTGTGGACGGTGGTCAGTGACCTGGACGTAATTCTGATAATAATATCAACTACTTTAAATCCAGATCTTTTATAAACTAGATGTTTTTAACGTCTTTTAGTGTTCAGAATAATAAAGTTTTCCTTTCAGGGTGACATCGAGGGTACGCAATGAAGCAATTTGTTTGGAAGTTGTCTCCATTTTACGAAGGTGTCTTGTCCAGGATGCTGTGGTCAAACAGTTGCTTTACACAGGTAACATTTCAATATAATATAAGTCTGCAACTTTGTAGTTTACGCGAGTAGTACAATAAATGAACTGTCTTCGACCCCTCCATCTTCCCCCATTCAGCACCCCGTATTCACGCCTGCTGAAAACCATCGTAAAACGTCGGGAAGTAGTTTAAATAAAATTGAAAATACCTATTCAATATCGCGTTTTAAACCGTTAATAGTATTTTATTTAAATAGTGTTACGAAAAATAATTTTGATAAATGGATATTAAAGACTTAAATAATTTTCAGAATTGTATGACTGCGCGAAAGAAAAGCCAGCACTACAAGAATCAATTTTAGAACTGCTATATGAACACGTGAACAAATTCCTATCTGATGATGGAGACGCTTTGCCGTTCCTGTGGGAGAAGTGTGTCCACTCCGGACCAGTCACTGCCAATCTTGTTGTGAGTATCATTGGCACTGGATTTCTATTGTTTGTGTCTTTATCACAAGATTAGATTGGTAAAACAATAAATTCGTATCTACATATTTATGCATTTATATAAATATGTACATGAGAATTTGTTATGTTCAATCAATCCTACTTTAATAACTAAATTTAGCCATGAAAGTCCTAATAAAAAAGTGAAACGGGCACAGAAATGTGTTCCTCTCTATGCCCGGGGTTACCGTAGTTTAACGACAAATTTTAACCGTAGCAAGTATCTTGCTTTTTACTTGTTATACGCCGTTATTCAAAGAGTATATATAATAGTAACTTTGTATTTTAATTTTGATCCATTATTTCCTTTCGACTTCATGTAATTGTTCCAGGAACCAATAGGAAGGCTGATATATGGTATTGCTCAGTTTCTCCTACCCATGGATGACGAGTCGGATGACATTCTGTCCAGTCAGAGCGAAAGCGAAGCTACACACTTACGTAACAAGTTAATAGGTATTATGGACAAATTGTGTGATTCCGAGCATTTGATGCATCTTGATGTGGTAAGATTTTTTTGGACTCGGTAGGACAGATAAGCTAGGTGACTATTGTTCACTAGATTGACGGAAGTGACCACATAACATAGTATGTGCTGCTGAATTATTTAGGCTTTGGACATTCGAAAATCCACAGATTGAAACCGAACCCGGATTAAATTTAACGGCATTTTTATCTGACGTTATATAGTACATTCGAACCTACGACACCGGGTCGTAAAATCGATTCATATTCTTACAGACCTTTTAACTTCTTAAATACTGTCTATAGTTTACGCGAGTAGTACACATTGCATAAATAAAACACTTTCAACGTTTGAAACGCGATATATTAGTTAAATTTCTTTTTTGAAAATGTTTATTTTTTTAACTTCGGCCCGACCTTATTGTATCCCGTTGACCACGGCTGCTGCAAAGCTATCCGAAACGTCGGGCCGAAGTTAAAAATCATTCTTTTACATAGTTCTTTGTATATCTCTGTCTGTCTGTCATAGATCTATCTCTTTCAGGATGATCACGGTGTATCAGACTTAACGCCAGAGTCCCAAGCTCAGAGGCTAAAGATTCAGCAGACATTACAATGCTACGAGGCGCTCATAGCTCATAGAATCATACAGTGGACGCCGCATACTACTTACGCTAATTCTGTATATAATTTCTACAAAATGTATTCCCAGCTTTTAGATAATACTAAGGTAAGTCTAATTATCATGGAAATTTGTATGTCAAACAACTTAAAATATATTGCTTGATAGTACTACAATGGTAACTAAAATACTTTTAACTGTTTAAAAGGCGAAATAAAAATAAATAACTTATTTTCAACTCATCTGACAACTATGAGCGGCCATATAAATTCAGTTATATATATGATATGTTTTGTCTTTTAAACCTTTAAAGTGTTTAAGGTTCTTATAGTATTATGTTTTTTGCTAATTTTAAATTTATTCCATGAATATAATATGTGCTATATTTTTATTCTTGTTCTTCTCATTATCTTATCATAGTTTAAAGAATATTCGAAATGGGGGAGCAATTGAAATAATTTTTTCGATCTTCATTTATCTAACACGTAAACATTCATAATATCACAGGCAACACCGAAAGGTAAGAAAGGCAAATTAAACGAAACGGGAGACGCAGTCAAGTCGCAGAAGAGTCAAAAGTCGCAAAAGGAGAAGGGGAGGGGGCCTATCAAGTTATCCAACATGGCGAAGGATAGGGCTGGTCCTTTCAAACCTTTGCCGTGCTTGTGGGACTTAGGGTTGTGCCATAGGATACTTGAATTACTATATAAGTGAGTATTTGAAAAGTATTACCGCTATGTTCTTCTAATCTAGACTAATTTAAAGTAGAACAGAACAGAATAGACTTGGTAGCTCAATTGGTAGAGCAACAGCACGGAACGCTGACGATGACGGTTCAGGTTCTGCCCGAGTCGATTTTTTTTTCAATTTATTTTAAATTAAAAAAAATAGTTTAAAGTACATTAGATTTTATATCGCCAGGTTGGTAAAGATTTCCTCTTTTAAACCAGGAAAAAATATGTACAAAAATATGAAGACGCGAGTGTCTAATTGCCTCACGCTATGTACCAACACGTACACCGCCACCGTGTTTGATAAATATATAAAAAAAATCCAAATTGTATACCGTATGTAGCTTACGCGAGTAGTATACATTTGAATAAAACAATTTAACGGTTCTCTCGCCGTGACCATGGTTGCTGCAAAGCATCCGAAACGTCGTGTCGTATTTAAAATAATTTTTACTGATATATTTCGCCTTTATAACAATTAAAATATTTTATTTAATTCTTAGTTGTATCATTTGCACTTGCAATATATTTGTGTCGTATGTACGAGAGAATTAAGTCTAGCCAAAATAGGTCTACGCATCTTGTTTCGATGTTATGTGGCTGGTTTATTTTACCTACCATCAAGTGCTTAGTAATAAGTTATTTATTATTTTTCAGCGAAGAAGTTACCTGGTCTTCGTTAGAACAGCGCAACCAAATTCGTAGCAAGCGTGAATTTCATCATTTTACTCTTAGATGTATACAGAGTGTTCTGAACGAGAAACTGGACAAAAGTGCTGTTGGTACACACGTGTTTCGTATAGCCACACTCCTTTATAAACGATGCTTATGTAGGTGAGTAATTTGCTTTAAGTCTCTAATCTTGAATCCGTTGGCCTTTTTTTTGTAATGAAGGGCAACTATTTCGATTGTTGGTAGATCTTAACTTAGTTTATAAGCCTCACCATAACTTCCCTTTAACCTCTTTCGCTAAAGCCGCTTAAGCACACAATCTAACTAATTGCTTGTCTCACATTTTTTTTGAAAATGCAAGGCATAATAGGACGATAGCGCATCTTATTGAGATGTCATATGGCTGGTGTATTACCTACCACTAAGTCTACCCCAAGCTTTGTCGTCCTTTATCATATAAAAATCTTTTCATTAATTACCTACAGATTTCAAGATCTATGCGAGTTTGATGACGTCACAGCCCTGTCTTGTCTCGACGTCATTAAAACATGTCTGAATCTGGTGCTTTCCCCCCAGTACTCTTTCAAAATTGAGAGTATTTTGTCTGGAATAAGTAAGACTAATTTAATTTTGATTATTTTCTTTTTATGTCACTACACAACTAGTTTTTAGTTATCTGAATCAAACTGTGAAAGTAACTAACTTACTTTAGGGTAAGCATTACCAACGCTGTATTTTTCTTTGTTTTTACATATTTTTGTTGTACATTTATTTATCGTATCACTATACACCATATCGTGGTAATTAATTCAAAATAATTACCCTTTAAGCTGGAGATCCCGATACAACGCCATCTATGAACATGTCTCAAATCCTAAGGAATATACACACTGCGCTTGCGCAGCTCGAAGCAGAAAGTGTGGCTGAAGATCGCGATGTACTATTAAAGAAGCACATTAGCTTACTACTGCAGATAGCTAATATGTTATTTGAGACTCCTGTTAGCGCTTGTCAAGCACTTAATACGGTAGGTCTTGATATAATTAAAATATCTTAGTACTTATTTAAATAAAACACTTTTAACGGTTTAAATTGTTTTTAATTTAATTTAACTACTGTCCGACGTTTCAGGCGCTTAGTAGCAGTCTTGGTCACGTGAGCCTCATATATTTCGTGTTTTAAACCGTTAGAAGTATTTTATTCCAAATGCAATTTTCGCTTAAACTACAGATAATATTTATCTGTATGTAGTAACTACTACTTACCACCTCTTTAATTGTAAATAGGACATAATAATGTGTTCGTCCTTGGCCCCTGTGGTAGAAATGGGATTGTCTTTTTACCAAGTACCACAATGTGATATATATATGTGTATAGTATTATTTTCAGTGCCTTAGAGCTTTTGTATGTTCAATGAAAATGACCGGATATTAAAATTTTAAAAGAAAACTTTCGGAAAATAATTGGTATAATGTAATTTCAGGTAAGAGCAAAGTTAGAAGATTACGTTCGGACGAGCAAGCAAGATTGTATACAGCTGGTTACGGGGTTGTTAACCGCTGCATTTCGTGAACACAGAGATGCGGCTTTCTTGGACCACGTCATATTTAAACTTACCCGAGTTTTGGGTAAGATTGATGTAAGTATATATTACGTTACTTGGTGGGCTCATTGGTCTAAAGTTACCATTACATGGCTTAAGATAAGCCGCTTGTGAGTTCGATGCCCTTCAGGAAAATGTTTTTATATACTATCTATAGTTTACGCGAGTAGTACACATTTAAATAAAACATTTTAACGGTTTAAAACGCGATATATTAATTACACTTATTTGAAAATGATTTTTAACTTCGGCCCGACGTTTCGGATACTTTGCAGCAGCCGTGGTCATGGGGAGACATGTTAAGTTTTACTAATATATCGCGTTTTCAACCGTTAAAGTGTTTTATTTAAAAATGTTTTTCTAATTCGTAAACGCGTAAGACTTCATCGGGAAAATCTGTACATTAAATGGGGGGTGGCAATATCAATATTCCGTTCACAGGTAGAAGTGCTAAAGTAATATTTAATTATCTTACTTGGCTTACGTACTTTAGCGTAACTTTACGTACTTAAAAAAACTGACGGTATAAAACGCGAAATATATGAGTCAAGTTTTTTTTTGTTATTTTAATAAGGACCTGATGTTTTGGATGTAGAAGCAGTCGTCACACAGGACCTGTAACTGAAGGGCGTACTCCAGTTTCGGTTTCAGTGTTCTGTATATCTGAATATCCGAAAAGGTCAACAACGCATCATATTTGCAGTGTGTGAAGAACCATTTCTCAAACACGATTATCCAGCAGCGCATACGCAGCGTTAGCCCACTGCTGTATCTTCAAATCTAATAATATATGTATTCTAAAACTAAATGGTCTTGGTTGTGACAAAATACCAAATATAAAATTGACCATGATCATTTTATAGGAAGAAGAGTCGTCGTCCACAGATGAGAATGAAGATTTCCCAGCTATCGACTCGCGAACTGGCCACACAGTGCTGACCAGTGTATGCCTGCATTTGAGTAGCCGATTCAAATGTATTGAGCACTTGCTGATTCGTAGTAAGGATTTGAGTCTAGCAGTTAACTTGGCCACAACGTCCAATCAACAGAGGATAGGGAAAGGTAAGGAGGAGTTTTCAGCCGACCGTTGGACACAGGTTATAAAAGACGGGTTTTTTTAAATTCAAAACCCACCACGGACTGCTTTAGTGACGGTTTAAAACGCAAAAGATGTTGGTTAACTTTTGATTATTGCGATATATGATTAACCTTATATGGCGAGACCATTCGCCATTTTCGGTCCCCACCTTGACCGAGGCTGGTGCAAAACATCCGAAATTTAAATGAAATTAACAATAAGTTAACTAATTTATTTCGCAATTATACATTGGGAATGAGATGGCTCGTTAGCGATAAGACCGCCCTATGCATTCCATTCTAGCTTTAGTAATTTATATATCGTTTATCGTTGTCAATTATCTACACCTTTTTAATTTTTAGAATTGGTGGATGTATACAAGTTGGTAGTGGTGCAATTATGCGCACTTAGCGGATGGATGAGTCGCATCTGTTCGTTGCGGTGCTGCGTAGGCGCAGGCAGCGAGCGCGTACTGGCTTCGTGTACGCGTTTTTACACGCTGCTGTCTATCTTATTGAAACAGCTGAATTCACAAACTGATTTGGTACCTACCTTAAGGTATGAATGGAATGGAAATATTGACATTAAAAAAAATATGTAATATAGGAAACCATGCTTATTATTATAATTACGTTATTTAAAGTAATCACTTATTTTGGTTTGACAGAATTATTTTGATGATTTTTTACTCGCTTTCTCGCATATCTTCGGGCCACTTATGGACAGTTTAAAAACTCATGCTTTCTCAACTCAGTTTTTTTGATTTTTTTATTTTATATATATATTTCTTTCTCAGGTTTTTTAAACGATATTAAGTGTATTTTGAATGATAGAGAAATACAGACAAACATCATCACTTGCTGGAAGGTAAAATTCTCGAGTCACATAAGATCTCAACATGCTGTCGACCTATTTTCGCAAGTATAGCATAGGATAAGAAATATGTCGATCTATATAAATTGCAGGTTGGATAGACTATTCAAGTTGTGCGGTAAGAAGTTATCATCGGTGACAGACGGTCTCATCACCTATTTGGAGGCATCGCAAGAGCACCAGAAGGCCAGCAAAGTATTGCGGGACACTAAGCTCATACCGCGTTTGGTACTCGAAGCGGAGCAATTCTGCAAACACGCTATACTACTGGGTAATAAGGTTAAGGTACGTATTTCTTAGTCTCCGAAAAAAAAATATCTTTATATAAAACACGTTACGTCCCCACGTGACCACGCCTGCTTCGAAGCATCCCGAACGTCTCATCGCATGTAAAAAAGTAAGTAAACTAATAATACATTTCGGGTTTAAAACCATTAAGTGTTGTATTTAAATTTGTACTACTGTATGTGTAAACTACAACTATATTAAATATACGATAATACATTAAATATATATGTTTATCTTTATAATTTTTATAATGTAATTCTGTTGTATATTGGTTTAATTGTATTATCCATAAAAGAAGTTAGTATCACCGTAGAATAAATATTTATGTGTATAAAATTTAACATATGTCTTGTATACGTGTGTGTTTAAAAAAAAAAATGTTTGCAGTGATTTAAATACAAAAAAAATAGTATATATTGTTTTCTCATAGGTGGACTTCCAACAATATTTATCTCTGGGCACTGCACGAGACTTTAGAATCAAAGCACCAGTTCTGATGGAGGCACTTAATGCGGGGAATGACGAAAATAGAGATCCAGGTAATTGTAATACTGGATAAATAAAAGAAAATATATTCCCTACTCTTGATACATTACAAATTTCCTATCATAAATATTTCTTTTAGAAATAGACCAGACAACACCAACAGTATTATCCCCAATTGAAAGTGAGAACGAACAAGAGAGTGATGAAGAAGACTCAAGAAGGAAGCGTAAAAGAGTTTCATAAAAGAATTTATTGATTTAATACAATAAAAATGTTATTTTTCATCAGTATTTTTATTTAAAAAAAAGCTCTTTTCTCCTGTCACAGTGTTTATGGGCGAACACTTCAAAACGGCTGAACTGAATTTAATGAAATCTTGTATATACGCTCGTTAGATTTGAGAATAACATGTAAATGTCATAATAACTACTACTTAAAAAAAAATACATATCCGTATAAATAAATATATAAGCCTATTTAAAGGCGTAACGAACATTCGTTAATGAGTGGATTTAATGACGTTATGTATACATATATATATATATTATTACATCTGTATATTAAGTACGCGATCAGCATAGATTGCTTTTAGTGACTACCTACTTATCTGGTCGCCAGCTATTCTACCAATATTGATAGAATCAGGTAAGTAGTAATTGTATCCCAGTCCATAATAAATCCTGTCACGTTACATCTACGCAAGCACCAAGTATTCGCGGAAATGGGGGGACGCCACGATGGACATTCGCGGAATTCCAAATTGAAATCGTTTCCCGCTATTTAAAGGAGCCATTCTAACTGCTAATTTCATAATTGAAGCGTAGACGACAGTTTTCCGCGAAATGTACATGAGAAAGTTGGTATTAGATGTTACGAGGAAAATGCAGTCTGTAATTTTATTTATAATGCACTTTTCCTTGGCGTTTTATGCTTTCCTTATAATAACAGAAAGAATATACCCGCTCTACATACATCGACCGTCTCCGTAACTAAATGGTTAAACGTGTTGCATTGCAATATGCGCGAGAGGTCATAGGTTTGAATACCACCGAGAAAACAATATTTATTAATTTATTTATTGAACATAAATATATGAAGCCCTGACAGGGATGCCCCCAGTGCAGCTTCAACACTTATGTGCTAATGAAGTTAGCTACGTGTCTTGCCAACTCATTCAACGGACTGTGCATAAGATCGTGGACTCGATGCAGGCGACTAACTGCAAGCATTACACGAGTTAGCGGTGCCTCGGCAAGTAAGTTAGTCCTTGCGGCTGGGGCGCGAAGTAGCGGAGGCTGTTGGACATTTTTTAGATCACTTAAAGAGGATTCATAAAACAAAGTGTATCCAGCATAAAAATATTTTTTTAATTCCAAACAGCAGTTCTTGATATTAGCGCATTCAAACAAACAAACTATTCACAACAAATATAAATAAAAGTTCTTTTTGCTTTTTTTGAATATTTTGTTAAAATACTTAATCCTTCCATTTTGCAAGTCGGTCAAAGACAAAGCAAAACAAAGAGAATACAAAAGAAATCATTGAATATTTGCTTAAGTAAGGGGAAATTGTGGCTCCGGGTTACTGTTAGAAAAGTAGCTATTCATGTTTAATACAATCAATCGCCTGCGGTTCTGTTTATAATTCTTACACACAGATATTTAATATTCTAGATTGGACACACAATAATATATGAAAGCTTTCCTTAAGAAATATTAGTAAATTGTTTCGGACTCATACAGAAAAGAACATGTTTCACACCTTTATGATTTGAGACAGACAGGCGTGGGGTTCATTGATGCAAGATAATATACAAAAATATCATCACGATGCGCTGTTGGCCTATTTTGGAAATCTACAGACAGAAACCGCGATTAAACTTCATCTGTAGACCGTGGATGGATGGATGGAATTTTAATATTTCTTTCATTTATTACCTTAGTAATCACATAATCATCGTTGTTTGTTTAAATGGCGTCACGCAAATATACACAACGATACAAAAATAAATTATAAACGGACTCTTCGATATCTTTTATTTTACTGAACTTCAAGTAAATTATATCATGCAAAACTTTATAAAATGGCCTGTGGCGATCTGAAGTACAAAGAGAATGGTATTACTTTATATTTTCCATGAAACGGTTTGCAATAGACAACATAATTAGCTCTCCCCGCTTTTTGCGTGCTTCAAATTTACAAAACCTTTTTTTCCACCATTGCACAGTTCTTAGAACTAAGAACAAACGAGTCGCTTTTTATCGTAATAGAATTCGACGAATTAAAATATTATGTTGCTTTGAACTCTCGATTGAATGTATAACAAGTAATTCAATTATTTATTTACTAGCTGTGTCAGCGACTTCGTCCGCGCTATTACTTTTCGGCATCAAAATTTGTTTTTGCAAACCATCATTTTCAATTCTATAAATTTAAGTTTTTACGTCGTCCGCGTCTCACTTTTAGGAGTAACTTGCAAGAACGACTTCTTGCAAGTTTATCCTAAAAGATAGATAGATACGCGAACATTTTCTTAGATGATTTTAAGAGGAAAATTCTTTCATACATTTTTTTTGGTGTCGTACGCGTAACGGAAACACACAAGGATGAATAATTTTCCCCGTTTTTTCCGCATTTCCCATTGTTTCTTCGCTCCTATTAGTCATTGCGTGATGTTTTATAGCTAAAAGCTCTAATTAGTAGTTAGTAGATTAGCATGTTAAATCAAACAAACAAACTATTCACCTTTATATATTAGTATAGATTATTCCTGTAGAAATATACGTACAAATACAAATAGTAAAAGACATCCAAACAAACAAAAAACGTAACATCTAATTATAAAGATGAACTAAGATACATAAGTCAGTCAAGAATTAACCGATCAAAATACACAATACAAACCAGAACAAGGCACTTTTAAATATAACATATTAGTTGCAATAATGGCATTAGGTCGGGTTTGGGGCAGGTTTCATTTTAAAAATTGTTCATCTGCGACGTCATGCAAACATACTTTAGATTAGTTGATTTACAATATTAACTTATATTATATTATAAAATACATACAAAATGTTAACTGCAATGTATTAAAGCTAAATCGATTCCAATGTAAATAATATATACTTACACAAAAAGGTATAACATTCATTGTCAATGTGCTCATTTAAATACAGTCTATAGTTTACGCGAGTAGTACAAGTTTAAATAAAACACTTTAACGGTGTCAACCGTGACCACGGCCGCTGCAAAGCATCCGAAACGAACCATGATAGGTCGTGGGTTCGATTCCCATCCGATCTAACATGGGTCCATTATGGGTCATTATAATATTGTTCAACGTCGTATGGACATTTGAATATAAAATAATTTAGGAATATCGAAATTCCGATCCACGAACCATCCATGACTCAACCACAATCCACACATGAAAAAACCCGTTTCGTTTAATCGCTTCTCGAGGTCCGTCTGTCGATTTGCAAATATTCAAAGGCTAAAATTGATAGCGCATCGTGTAAAGATATGGCTGGCGTGTGTATATGGCTGAGGTATGTCACTTTCCATCACGTGGAGCCCATGCGTGTACAGACAAGGAGAGCCTTTTCTATCATAAAAGAATACACACAACGTTATGTAACTAATCATTTTTATACCAACTAGATCTATTTCTCTAAAAAAAACAACAGAAGTCAGTAGGATTTTTAGGGTTTAACTAACTGACGCAACGACATACATTTCGTTTGAGCTAAATACACAATAATAACGTAGAATGAAAATCGTGACATACAAAAGTGGTTGACCTATTTAAATAAAACACTTTAACGGTTTAAAACGCGATATATTAGTTAAACTTATTTGAAAATGATTTTTAACTTCGGCCCGACGTTTCGGATGCTTTGCAGCAGCCGTGGTCACGGGGAGACCACGGCACGGTCACGGGGGGAGATGCAAAGCATCCGAAACGTCGGGCCGAAGTTAAAAAATCATTTTCAAATAAGTTTAACTAATATATCGCGTTTTAAACCGTTAAAGTGTTTTATTTAAATGTGTACTACTCGCGTAAACTATAGACAGTATTTGGTTGACCTATTTTTCTCTCTAGGTTTTTGGAAACGAAATTAATTGCCTTTGCAACGCCGCCGGCCCGAGAGTGCTCTATACGTGTAGCTTAATTTGCTGAAAGGGCATAGGGAAATTAAGGTTCACGATGTATCAACATTTTATCACTTCAATAAAACATTACTAACTACTAGTTATAAAGTGTTATGTCAAATAAATATCGAAAATAAGTAGAAATAATTTACGACTCGGGCAGTACTTGAACCGGCATCGTCAGCCGTGCTGTTTCTCAAATCTATTCAGCTGACGAGTCCAACACGTGATCGTCGATTTTTTTCAACTTAATGATACATGTACCTCTCGCGCAATGTATGTGTAACTTTTACACTTTCGTACTAAATATTTATATAATGCCATCATGTGCAATAACGTGTGACGAATAGTTCTTCTGAAATTTTTCTGTTACGCCCAATATAAGACTTTTTGCGGAAAGCAGAAAATTTTAAGTATATAAGGATTTTTCTGTTAAATAGTTTTTGCTACTACACTACAACTCGCATTTACAAAGTAAGCAGTAGTGAGTAGTGTAATTAAACAACGCGTAAATGTAGTTTAAACCATATCATTTGAAATTCACAAGATGTCTGTAAAGCCTCATAATTCTCTAATAACTTAATATTCTGCGAATCCATTAGTTTAATACAAGGAATATGTTGGAAGGTTTCTGCGATATTAATTCCCAGAAAGTGTTTCACTACATATCTGACTATTATAATTAGAGTATATACCTAGAAACTGTGAGGACTTTCTAAATTAATTAATGCCAAGGAAATAAGGAAATAAAACAAGTCATTTGTGTTTTTAGTTATTGCGTCTGTCATGACAAAGTCCTGAAAATAATCTATTAGTTTCCTAGCAACTGACGTAGAGAAGACTTTCAGAGCTTGGTTTTAGTTAGGTCCGTTCCGTCCGTTCATAGATTAAAAATGTTATTATAATAATTAGTAAGTTATAAATCTTGTCCTCCTGAAGATCTGTCAATCTATAATCTGCTCAAATAGCCGGCTGAAGAGAAAAAGAAGAATAAAATTTGAATTCAAATAAATCGAACACTCCGATGTTTCTTTACGAGCTCGATTTACAGAAATCAGTTGTAACTCAAACTCCAAACAATCAACACGCAATAGAACCGGACAAAATTGAAGAAGAACAAAAAAGAAAACAATCTCCCAACCAGTGTAGTACGCGCTGCCCTGAAGCAAAAATGCCTTGCTACCCGTGTGGCCCTTGCAGTCCATGTTGTGGACCTTGCAATCCCTGTTGTGGACCTTGCTATTCCTGCTGTTCACCGTGCTGTGGCCCTTGCTACGGCTGCTGCGGTTACTACTGCTGTTAGACGTGGCCAAACGGTACAGAGCTGTGTACTTAAATGTAGGTCGTGAAGCAAAGTGGACTGTGCAGGCGTGTCGCTCCGTAGAGCCGAGGGCGGGGAGCCCTGGCTCCTTGTGCGAGTCGAAGTTACTCCTTGCGCAAGTAGACGTAGCAGCGGCACGGATGGGAGCCCCCTAGAGCTCGGGGGGCTAAAGCTGGTCTGCGCAGAACGGGCGAGGAACAAGGCTTTGATGGTCGGCGTTACAGTTCAACAGTTCCATGTACCAAGTTTTGTGAATAAAATGTTTAAAAAGATCTCTTGTATTATTAAATTGAACATAATAGGGGCAATAGGTACTAATATAATTTAATAGGTCTTACATTATGAGGACAGATGAGCATGGGGTTAGCCTCGCCCATTTTATAATAACAAATATGAAGGTCGACTTAGCTTAGCTTGCATATTTGTTATTTAAGTCGACCTGTTTTGGCTTTCGGACACAAAATTTAGAGAAATTTGACCCCTTTAGGCTTTTGGTTTTGTGGTCGGTCTATAAATAACTCGTTCAATTTAATTTTATCCCACATTTCACGTAAGCGGCCGTGGGGGGGGGGGGGGGCAATTTAGAACCATTACTCACTGCTTCACACTTGGTAACTCGCCGCGTAGTGATAATGCGTAATGGCTCTTATGGACAGTTTATCTCGGATAATATTTGTATCTCGACCTACTACTTATGAAATAAATGAATTAAATCAATATAGCGATTTACTGTATTTATTCAAATGTTTCACACGTTTACATAAAATCCCAAAACAATGAATCCGGATAAAATACAAAAAACAGCAAATCCTACGACAATCGAAACATTTTCCGCAACGATTTCGTCTTCACATTTACTTATCTGTAAGAAAAATAGTGGACTATTATCTCACATATTTCAAATATATTGTCACCTTTCAGGACCTTGTTAAATAATAATAAAAGCGTTTAAAAATTCTATTTCAGGCGATAGAAAAATTGTAGCACTAAGTTAATTGGTCATAACATTCACAAAGCTTACAAAATCAGCAGGAAAGTGGACAGCACGGTCCAGGTAAAGGTCCACTAGGTCCACAGCCCCCAGTGGTTGGGTTGCAAGGCTGATTGGAGTAGAGGCAATAGCCGCCTCCATGGGGCCCGCCCACGAAGCCTCCATAGTACACCGGCATGGTAACTGGATAATTTTGGATTTACGAGACGTGTGACTCAAATAGCTTGCAAAAAGAATGAGAGTTTTGACATTCTCGAAATTTCAAATGTGAAATGTTTTCTTTTTAATTTTTGTGCTCAATCAACAGCATAGTTTACAGTCAAAAAACGACGCTGAACACGAAAGGCATTTCTTATGACTGAGAAGCACAGAGAAGAATGGGGTTCTCTTCTTGAAAGGTAAAATCCATCAGCACTATACTATATCTACGCTTGATACGTTGTTGCCCTCTTCGGCTTTGAACCTCCTTTCTTTCGTAGCAGAAACCTTCAAAGAGAAACTTAATAAAAAAATACTGTCAAAAATGACAATTGTTTTTGGTGACACTTTCAATCATCCGGCATATAGGGAAACCCGAAGAAATAAAATAAAAAATCAATAAAAATGGTATACAATGGGTGCTATCGATGCTTTACCATTGGGACCTTTGCCAGATGTTCTGGTGGATGTGACCCGCCCATGACGGCTTGCAGTTTGCCCTGCGTCCAAGGCTGCTGCTGTTCTCCAGTGGGACCGTGTTGTTATAATCATTGATCGTATATTTAATGTAACGTGTCTCTAAATTAAAGGTTTCAAGTGCATTGTGTATTATTTTTAAACAGCCAATAATACATTTGAAATCAAACTGAGCTACCATAGACCCATTGTAAAACCAGTCACAGCTACAATTCCTGATACAGTATACAGTTAAACGTGCGTACGGAAAGAATAGGTATTTAATGTTGAACTATGATTTGGTATAATATTCTAGGCAATGTTCCTAATTTTAAGCGTAAGGTGTCTTTGCTAAATAATCATTGAGCTATGGTTTTCACAGGTAATAAAAGAGAGTCCATAACAAAATTAGACAATCAAATGAAACGCAAAGAATACATTTAAATTCAAACCACATCTAAGTAATCTTCGTCGCACAACGTAAACACTACAAATACAAACTGTTCCGACTCGTTTGTTTAGTGTCGTGGAAGGCTCAAACCCTTAATTTTCCAAGAACCCTACGAAGTTACGCATTTATCACGAGACCTTGAGTTATTTTATGTATCACGCAAGAGGTCAATGGAAAAGATAATGGTGCCTACTTTGTACAAACCCTAACAAACAGGATTTATAGTGAAATTCTATATAAAATATTTGACAAAAAATATCATCAAAGATTAATAAAAATTGTCGATTGTAACCTTACAAACAAAATTAACTTCTGCAACATTCTCGTGTATGTTACGAAAGTTGCAATTAGTTTAACCATATTCCAACGTAATATTCGTATAAATAGAACACCAACCTACCATCAACTCTAAGGTTAAAACATCCTTAAAATAGCTATAAATAAATGGTTTTTCGCAGACAGGGACAAAAGTGCGATATTTATCGCATTTCGTATCGCCTCCTCACGATACTTCCTGTCGTTATCTGATGGCGACGCGCCAAAATCGAACGGCTTCCGGTTCCAAGTCCAGGAATTGTCTTGATTAATGATTGCGAGGAAGTACAGACAGGTGGGCATTTTGGTTGGAACATAAAAGGTAATATGAGCTGGTGAACAATTTCGCACAATAATATGTATTTTCATTTAATTAAAATAATGTTGCGACTTCTGTTTTAAGTTAAAAATAATATGATATTAAGTGACGGGTTATCGAATTCTAAAGACATCTCTCATCAATAGAAATAATTTTAGCTTATACATAAGATATTATTAAATTGTAGTCTTTTAAAGTATTGAATAAATAAACTTACACATTAGTTGTCTAAATGATTTACAAAGTTCGCCTCGATTTCTCTGGTTCGTGATCACCCTGATTCTTATAATGAGACTGAGGGATGAATGTGAAGAAAATGGATTTGAATGCATCAACTTTCCAAAAAACATCGAAATCAGTTTAATAAAGGACGAAGTTAGGCACGAAAAACACAATAAAGCCATATACGAATCGAATTCAACTCATTTTTCCGAAGTCACTTAAAAACTAAGGATATTATATGCTTCATACATTTATTATAACATAAAAACAGAATTCTTTGAAAAAAATAAAGGGATTTAACTCAAGTAGAACAGCTGGGTCCATAACGCCAGCTATAGCTGCCGAAAGGTTTACCGCAGGGACCAATACAGACTCCATCGCATGGGCCAACAAAAGGTGCTGGATAGCTGATTCCAGCTGTTTGGCCGCAGCAAGGCATTCCGCAGGATGGCTGAGACATTCTTCTATATTTTAATCTATTATTATAATAACACGGCAAATTTGATATAAAGTGAAGCAATAATTTTCACAACAATTTCTTCGTAATTTATGACAGTAAAAGGTTATTTTTTTAAATAAATGAACCTTTAAAAGCTTCCAAAATATATCATTCGGTTTTAATTTATTTTAAAAAGGTTTTATGTATTCTCTTTATGAAATCACACTGGCAAGATATAAAAAAGAAACCGTCACTCAAATTTATCAGTTGGAGACAAACTCCATTTGATTTTGTAAAAAAAAATTAAAATTTCTTTTAAAAATTATTTTTTTGGTTAGTTGTTTAATACGAAACAATCTATTATAGTTTACGCAATATTTGCAACAGGATTCTTGGAGATGCGTTGCCGTCCTTAATTATCGTCTGTGCCGGTTTCAGATAAAATGCCTGTAGTAAATTGTTGTCTCGGATGTCAAGGACCAATGGCCGGGCCCTGTGGACCGATGGCCTACCGCAAAGAGTGTAAGAATGTTGGTCCCTGCTGCGCCCACGCAATTGGTGCTAACTGTCAAGCGCCGTGTGGAGAGATTGGGTGCATCCATGGGTAAATGTATAATTCGAGCTTAATTAGGTTTAAAGATTTTAGTGTACCTACACATAATATCATAGCCTATTCAGTAGAATTTATTATACGTATACATATATAATAAATTATATTATTACCACTTTTAAATTACTATTTTTAAACTGCCTTCAAACATTCTTATACAAATTCGGTCTTGTAGGTATATAAGTACACTTTGGAAACGTAAGTTATTTATTTTTTATATGGTAGGGGTAAAAATTCACGAATACCCCGTGAAAATGACAGGGACATTAATGTATTATTTGATTTTTTTTTTTTAATTAAACATTTTTAATGTTTTCCAGCGAAAAATATACTCTATACTTATTAGGTAGGCATTGTTCACAACAACCCGAAGTATTATTAGTTACGGCCCGTGACGGTACGTGATCACGATTGCTGCAAAGCATCCGAAAGGTCGGGCAGAATAATATATTTCGCATTTTAAACCGTTGCGTGTTATTTAAATACGACCCGAGGTTTCGGATGGTATGATTGATAGTAGTATTTTAATGGAAAACCCGCGAAACCATTCACAATGCATAAGTATGTACAAGTATACGGGAAATTAACATTAATAGTCGAATTGGTTCCAGGGCGCGCGGTGGAGTAGCTGGTTCATACTATACTTGCGGAGACGGGTGTATTGGAGGCTGCATGGGCGGATTGTGCGCTAGCTGTTGTGGACCTGCCTGTGGATAAGCCTTCCGTGTTTAGTTGCCGATGTCAAATTTTAGTCCAATGCTGTAATAAATTATCTGAAGTGAAGTTGTCTCAATGTCTTATTAAGGCCAGCAGTACACGGACTGCTTCAAGCAGTTGAGACCGACTACGTAAAGCCGCGACCGCGCGGTGAACTATAGTCATTTATTCGCTGCCGTACACACGACTGCTCGAGCAGTCGCGACCGCTTCAAGCCGTAAACTGCATCATGATATTCCATCGTGCCGTCGACCGCTCGCGAGCGCTTCCGAGGCATACACCGACTGCTCGAGCCGTTGGCTGCGCTAGAGCAGTCGACAGCTCTCCGACTTATGATAACTTTGATAAAAAACCAGTTTAAGCAAAAAATCAAATCGGTAAGTAAAAAAGTCAGTCATTTTACACACACATTTATTAAGTTTATGTCATATTATAAAGTCACACGCATATTTATCGATTTATATCATATTCCATTGACAATCTAGTTTGCCGTCTTCGCTCACAAAGTAATTAGCAAATTCTTCACGGATTTTTGTTAACACAGGTCCACAAATAAGAAGACCAAAATTGACCTTTCATCATGTTTTGTAATGTCCGATGATGTAATTTCCAATATTTTTAATGAATAAAATTTTTAATAATTACTATACATTTTACTCACCTCAATGTTACTGCTAGTCTTGTCTTTCTTCAGGTTGGATACTTCTCATAATTGTAACGAGGTCTTAGATAAACACGTTTAATTTGAGACTTTTATTATATTATACAATTCATCAGAGCTTTCGCTTTGATTTGTCCCCCAAAAATAAATCCCCCCCCCCCCCCCCCCCCCCCCCCCCCCCCCCCCCCCCCCCCATATTTGATTACCCCCCCTCCCCCCCCCTGTGTATTTATCTCTCCCTCCCACCACACACACCCCCCCCCCCCCCACAACACCCCCAAAAACAACCTCTCCCTCTCCGCTTTTTTTTTTTTTCTTTTTTTTTTTTTTTTTTTTTTTTGGTTTTTTGTTGGTTGCCTTTGCCTCCTTTGCTTTTGTTTGTGTGGCTTGCTTTGCTTTCCCCCCCCCCCGAGCAAAGACATTCTAAATAGTTGAAAAATTATTTCTTCATGCACTTCTAAGTTCCATAAACAAATGATGGAATTGTCCATGTTCTCTTAATTGCAAAATTTGGATGAACCCTAAATTTTCTCTTTTGACGTCGCCTCCGCCCGAGCAGAAGCAGCAAAAGCAGTGCTTCCTCATCAGAACCCATGACTCGACTGTGGTAGAAAATCAACTGCTCGGGCAGTCTACGCCGACCGCTCGAGCGGTCCGTGTATTTCGCTCAGCCGCTAACTGCTCGAGCAGTTCGTGTACGGCCGCCCTTAATGTATCACATTGGTGGGCGACTTGGTTTAGGTCCCATAAATGCTAGTTTTACCCTATCAATACTATCTGGGGACATTCAGGCTATGTACAACTTTCGAATCTTCTACCTTCTACCAACGCTGTTTAGTTTGTAATAAACAAAAAGATGGAAAAGCTGGTTATTGAAAGATGTTTGTCAAATAACCTGGGAATGATTTAAGGTAAATTTTCGGTACATTATTTTCTCAATTTCTATTTTTCCCTTGGTGTCTATCCCCTATATTAATAGACGGTATCACCATTTCATCGGCACGACCTAGAGTGATAAACTTATTCTAATACCAAGAATGAAAGGATTTAAATAGGATTATTATTATAATATATTTTAGACACGATTTCACTGACATTACACAACCCCCTGGGTCCGTAACAGTATCCACCACGAGAAATTCACAGCACAGGACGCAAATTCACCTAGCACGGGCCGCATGGACCACAGCAAGGTGGCGGGCTCGGGCTCGGGCACGGTGGACAGGGTCCGCAAGGTCCGCATGGACCGCATGGGCCACAACCTCGACAGAAAGACGGGCATGGCGAGCATCTTGATGCGCATGGCGGGCAGCACGGCCCGCAGAACCCGCATGGGCCGCAGCACGGGAAACACGGCGGGCAAGGACCACAGCATGGGCCGCAAGAAGGACAGCTCGGTGGAGGGCACGGCGGGCACGGTGGGCACGGTGGACACGGAGAGCAGCAAGACGGAGGTGAGCAGGGCGGTGGTGGACACGAAGGCGGTGAGCACGGACCGCAACAAGGGTAACAGGGACCGCAAGGACCGCAACACGCCATTGTAATTTTCTTTTTAAAAAATTAAAAACACTGACAATTTATACAATTTGTTTTATAAAAACTTTTTAAATTTTTATAAAATATTTTTCGTTTAGATGCGTCCTGTTTGAAATTTTGTTAAATAATGAGATGTGGAGTTACTTTGGCGACAGGGCTTCGAATTTTTTGAATTAAATTTTTCTTCTTTTTGATCTTCTTTTCTATATTTAATTTTTCGGGAAGTTTTTATATTTTAGATAAATTTAAGAAGTCTTGGAAGCGTTACGAAGTCTTAATATTATCACTTGTTCTCCTTTGATAAACATATTTTAACCTAGTTGCAAACTAAAATTACTTTGAAAGATAAAGTCTAATCTTTTTTAAGTAAATAATCTAGGAGCCACTCAGAAACCTTCATAGTTCTTCAGCTTCAATAAAAATAGTCTGACGTCTAGGTGCCGAAAGCCTACGCATCGCATGGCACATTCAAAACAACAACAAGGAAATGTTGTCATCTTCATCACACGCTGTGACGCGATTCTGTAACTCCGAGAATGTATGATAAATGCGTTGCGAGAAGCCATTACGACTTCCTGCCGATACTGAGCTTATTGCGAATTAAACTACACAGAAATATGCACTTGTAAATGATCGAAGCGATTTTTCTTTGAGTACGCGCAGATGTTGCAAACCTTTATTTTGATATTAATAAAGCATTTCAAAGACTTTTGTATATGGTAGAGCAGGATAGATTGAGAAATAAAAATACCACAGCCATTTAACATGGATATTTTCAAGCGCAAGTTTTAGAAAATTATAAGAAAGTCGGACGGTGAGGATCGAATCCATGACCGATTGTTAGTAGCCATACTCTACAACCATTAGACCAACTAACCCGTCTGGTTATTTCCATTGTGACACTATTGAATAGACAAGCTTAGTGCGCTATTGTTACTCTATATAAATAGAATTAGATATATGACGTTATTAACTACTTAAGGTAAGACTTAGATTGAACGAACTCATCATGCTTCTATCCACGTAAAGAATAACTAAACCACTAAGAAGTAATCTCATTATTTTGTTGTTTCTTATATCGTTAGCGCCTGTTATTTTTATCACATACGTTATACTTTAACAAAATTCATATTCATATCATATAAATATATTTTTGTAACATCTTTGAGGACTCTAAAAACCTTTTAACTTTCAGAACTCGATTTTCAAAAAATTGCTTTAATTTTTTCAGTTTTTACACGAGTAGTATTTGCTTTTCGATTTTCGTGGGCGTATTTTATTTAATTCATAAAGGTCAGCAAAGCATCAAATGTTACCCCAAATGATAGAAAGTCAACATAGAATTAATTTCAGATCCGTTTGATAAGCCTTAACGTGCACAATTTTATTTTAATATATGAAAGAGCTACATCGATTATTGCATTTAATTACTTAATAATATCGATTTAGACTAGTTGACAGTTCAGTGCCCAAAGTTTTCGGCTTTTATAAAACCGAGGCGTAGGCTTATCCGTATAACATTTAAACAATATGCCTTGTTGATCTATTTTACGTTTTCATATTGCCAATTGTTTCTGACCCATCCGTTCCTGGAACTCATCACTAGAATAAGGCAATTATGAGCTAATAACAATCATATCCATACCTAATAGAAATATATATAGTCATTAAAAGCTGAATTAGCAACGTGACCTAGACTTTCTTCGAAAAGCGCAATTACCGATTATTTAGTACCGGTTTGTATGTAATTATTGTTCATAATACTGCGTTTCTAGATAATGTTACCTAGTATCCATTATAATACGTTAATAGCAGAACGTAAGCATTCGAAATTAGACACTATCTAATTGTAATTCGTGCTGAAATCCCATGAGTTTTTTTTATATATATAACAACGTGTAACAACTCATACAATAGTGTAGCTCCGCTAACTATTTATTCATAGCCATAAATTTAGTTCTTCGGACATGGGAATAAGTTCTGAAATCGCTTGCACGTAGTGAAGTAGCGGTAATGACATGGACAATTGAAAGGCGACTAAATTGTGCGGTTTCCGGCCCTCTTCCCTGAACAGTGTACCCTCCAGCATTAAAGGCAGGAGTTATCAACTCGTATAATTGCCTTTGTTTTATTTTTGTTCCTATAGAAACGAAACGACTTCGGCTTCTTTCGGTTATCTGTGCTTTTGTCTGTTCTTTACTTTGATTTAACAATAGATTGAAATTGGTGAAAAATCACAATAATATTTAAGCCCTTTTAAACGAGTACTACACTCTTATTTACTTAACGGTTTAAAATGCGAAATATATTAGTACAGCAATGCACCCGAAACTATGGGCCGCAGGTTAATTAAACTAATGCTTACTGATATATTTCACGTTAAATCATTAAAAGTGTTTTATTGAATGACTTCCTATTTCTGAAATAAATACATACATATAGACAACTTTAAGCGTGTTGCAATTACGTAATACATTACGGAAAATGTTGCGAACCCCTGAACCGCTGCAAGCGCATCCGCCAGCACCTTCCCACGACAAATTGTACGTAGGAAACGCGTTCTAAATACCCAAAAACCGCCTGTCACTATTTCTACGAAATTTTTAATAACCATTTCGTACGAAACCAGGAGGGGAATGAGTATACTGAAGTACCAATTTGGTAGACAAGAGTGAACTTTCTAATTATCTATATGAGTCTTGAACGCGGCATTGCCCGCGACGTAATTAATTTTTCTTTAGCATTTAAATATAGATTATAGATGGCGCTTTATTAGGAAAAATGTATTAGTATACATGTACAATAAACCATGTTAGGATTAAATACTGTCTGTGGTTTACGCGAGTAGTACATACATATTTCACCAAAATACGTTTTACTTTGACATTAGCTATAGCATCCATCTTTAGTCTCCCCGAGCACACGGCTGCAAACCATCCGAAACGTCGGGCCATAGTTAAAATAATTTGTAAACGGGTAAAACTAATATATTTCGCGTTTTAAACGGCTAAAGTGTTTTATATAAACATGATAGGATTAATTCTAATATAAATGGTTCGCAGAGATAAAGTGAAGAGTTGCGCAATCAAGCTAAACTGACACGTGGTAGATCATCCTTTATCTTTGACAGTCTTTTGATCAAAGATTGATCCTGTTCCACACACAAGGTCGGCCCAGCGGATAGAAGAACGACCATGTGATTTCTTTCCTTCAACGTACCCTTAAAGCTGTCTCTAACAGTCCACTGGTGAACCGGAGTTAGCGGAACCTAGTATCTCCAGGAAAAGCTCAATTCCGGAAATATGGCCAAAGAACTTGTTATGTATAGTTTTTGTAACGTAATCTTCGTCGGTCAAATAAGGACATTAACTATTCCTTTCTTTATTTCCTTAATTTTCCTTTTTACTTATAATTGAACAAACAAACAGAAGTACATATATTCGATAGAAATAATTAGTGCTATTAATAATACAATAGCTACTCAATAATAATTAATTAAAATTTATAATTTTTTACGATATCACACCTACTTACGTTTCTATGATACGATATAATTCGATTATCAATTTCTAGGAAAGACTACGTTATATGTTATTTCCTAAAAGATCATTTTCTAGAATAGATCGATGATTGAAATCCTAAACTATTTGATTACACTATCTGCTTGTATTATATCAACTAATCATATTAAAGCGGTGTAAAAAAACGTGAACAGTGTGACGTCAGTTCCTTAGCCTGGTTTGACAAGCTTGGTGGGCGGTTTTCTTTCCAAGTTATAGACTTACAGAGGCCCGGCACGAGGATTGAGTGGGTTTTCGATCTGTTCGACTGTCTTTATTGTAAAATTGTGTTTACATATTCTGTTGTCGTTTGTATAACGCCTACATTATTGCTGTATAGCTCTGTTTTGTACTTATAGCACTAAAAGTTAAAATTGATTTCATGCCCTAGTTACTTTCTTGTGACGTTTTAAAAAATGAACATGCGCACAAACAAGCGTAGTTCTAATCTAATAAGAATGAATCACGAGTTGATAGGGAATGCGTTGCGCAAATAGTTGCGATGTCTTGCGCAGTGCGATCAAAATAAACGATTATTTTTTTCCAAGAAGTGACAATTGTTTACAAACATATTGTTTGTAGGAATTATTATCATCAGCTCTTCTTGTGGTTTACGCTCATGAGCATCTTCAGAGAGTAAAGGGTCAAAGTCTGATGGCTAATAGCAGATGTGGACTTTCAGTTCTAGGTAGGCTGGTTAAACCATTTTGGTGTTTGACCTAATAATTCACAAGCAAGACAAGCAGACAAGCTCTCATGTTCATTACCACGTGAAATTGCTTCAACTATTTAAATGATTTTTATTAACAAGTAGCTATTTTGTAAATTCATATTTCTCTGAAACTGTATTATCGTTTACATGTTATTGCACATGAAGGCACTATATAATTTTAAAATCGAAAATAAATTTAAAAAATTTTCGACTCATCGACATCGTCAGCGTTCCGTGCTGTTACTCTACCAATTAAGCTACCGAGTCCGAGTTGGTAGAGCAACAGCACGGAACGCTGACGATGCCGGTTCAAGTCCTGCCCGATTTTTAAATTCCATTTTCTTAATCAATTAATTGCAAATACGTATTCTTTGTTATATATATACCTATAAATACCAACATTGCATCCGCAGCTAAATAGTTCTGTCGTATCGAGTCTTATCTGGTTAAGCACCAGAAGTCAGATTGCAATAAAACATTTTTAACGGTTTAAAATGCGACATATTTTAGTCAACTTATCAACCATGACCATGGCTGTTGCAAGCCTACCGTCGGGACGTTAAAATAACCTGTAAATATATTAACGGATATATTTTTCGCGTTTTTAACCGTTACAAGCGTTTTATTTAAATGTTTACTACTCGCGTAATTTACAGACAGTACGACAAGTCTTATCCTATCTCCAGGAAACAATAAATTGTAAGTGTCGGCCAGGGCAAAAGCCTGACGACAGTCG